TTAAATCAATGAACGTTAGACAGAGCGGCATCTTGAACTCCTGAGAAACCTCAATGAGTTTGGTTATCCTGTGGATATGGCCGATGGTGCTGAATCTTTTGCAGAACCCGGCTTGCTCGCATGGTTGTCCTTCATCTAGTGTTCTGCCAATCCTATTTAGGATGACTCGAGTGAACAACTTGTAGATGACAGACAATAGGCAGATTGGGTGATAGTTGCCAATGTCATGGATGTCTCCCTTCTTGTACAGTAGTACAGTCCTGCTGGTTTTCCATTGGGATGGAACCTTGCATTCAGACAGGTAGCGTGTGAAGAACCGAGCCAGCGTATTGATGAGTACTGATGGCAGGTTCTTCAGGTGTTCAGTTCTGACCTTGTCTGGGCCGGGTGTTGTTCGTTTCTTTACTGACAAAATGGCGTGTCAGATTTCAGAAGGGAGAACATTGGGAACAACATATCCATCCTGTGGAATTTGGTATGTTGGCAAGTGGACATGGCTATCGAAGAGATTTCAGTAGAAGTCATGGATAATCTTCTCCATTGCCATTCTGGAAGATGCGATAGATCCATCAGGACGTCGGAGGGCAGTCATCTTGGTCTTGTAATTGGCAAAGGACAGGCGGGCATTATGAATACTTTTCCTGACTTCTGCTGCATCTACCAGCACTTCTGCTATTCTCTCTTTGAGGTCTTCCTTGATCGCATCTCTGCACTGCTTTGCGAGCTCGGCAGTTCACTTGCAGTTGCCTGAGGCATGTGCCAAACCACGTTGGCGAATAAGCTCAAGAGTTTTTGAAGACAGGCATTTTTTTGTGGCTATCTCTCTCTTGGCGTTCCTCGCACAATCATGGAGGTGCTGAACCAGTCGATCATATTCCTCGTCAATGTTGTCAACAATGGCATCTTCCCATGTTGCAGCAATAGTGCCAAAGAGCTCCCAGTTGGTGGTCGTTCTGGGAGTTCTCTTCTTATACTTTGCAGTTCTTTCTCCCCACACTGTGAAGTAGAATTTTGCATGAAGGAGACGGTGGTCCAATCCTGTTTGGAATTTTGGGACAACAGCAACATCAGTCAGGCAAGACCATCGATTTTATATGATGTGGTCTGTTTCGTTGTAGAATCGTCCACTGGGAGACTCCCATGTCTAACGTTTAGATTCTGCCTTCTGGAACTGTGAGTTACCATGGATGGTCTTGGTCGACATGATGAACTCAAACAGTCTCTCACCCTGTTTGTTCCATTCTAGGCCATGGGTCCTGATGTGAAGTTCTTCGACTGATCTTCTCGGTCCTATCTTGGCATTAAAATCTCCCACAATGATCTTGTATAAGGTGTGGTCTCCTTATATAACTTCTCCAGCTCCATATAGAACTTCTCAATTTCTTCTTCATCATAATTAGATGTTGGTGCGTAGACAACGAAGATAGAAACTGCCAGCAGTGAGCCACATCTATTCAAATGTAAACGTCCAATTTGGGTTGTTAGGCATTCGAATGAATCAATGCTCATGGCCAAGTTTGTGTTGACAAGGACACCGACACCTCCAACACCTCTTTTATCGCATGTTCCGAGGAACAATTCTTCTCCAGTGTTGAAAACGGCATGATCAGATTGGGGCCTTCTTGTCTCGGTCAGACCAATGATGTCGTACTTGATCTTTCGCGCTTGTACCATCAGGTCCTCGATCGATGCATCTGATGCTAGCGTATGTGCATTGAAAGTACAGATGATCATTTTTGTATTCCTTCATTGTGACAGCCTACTTCAGCCTTGAGATTTTATCGGCCTCTCCTTTCTCATCCTTCTCAATGCTGCTATATTGGCGAAGCCTTCAGGGTCAGGGGAATGAGACCCATTGTAGTTACTGGTTTTGGCATATTGAATACACAACGGATAGCTTGCAAGGCTCTGCCATGCAGGCGATATACTCTTGGTAGCTTGCCAGGCTTTCCGAGAGGGATAGAGGCTTTTGGGGCAACCTCTAATCGCCCTTGTAGGTGTTACCATATTTGAACCCTATCAAATATGGTACGGCAATTCCGAAAGATGGGTATTTAGCGTCTTATAATGTGTCGTGCGGCCGCGCGGGTCCGGGAAGCATCCTGGAGTGTGGCGGCGGCTGGGTAGTGGAGGTAGTGTCAAGGCGCCCAATGCCAACGCTCATCAGACCTTATTACTTATAATAAGAAAATTCTTCTATGTCCATCACCTAGATGTGACAGTTAACACTTCTCTTCATCATATACCTAGCTGCCGACCTAAGCCTCTATTCATTGGATCATCTTTTTTGATGAATTGCACGCTAACTTGTAAGCATGTTCGTTTTACTCCTTGGCACTTTAGCATTCATATTCTTTTGGGTGGGGGGAGTGCAGGTGTTGTACCTGATGACATTTTATGTGTAGTGCTGGGGATTGAACCAGGCTAAATCCAGAGTTGTCACATGTAAGGCAACTTATAAGGCCTTACCTCCTGTACTGGCTCTCTGGCCCCAGCATGCATATTTGTAACTAGAGTTTAATATGAGTTTAACATTAGTTTCTTAAGTGAAAGTTACAGAGAGTTAAATACACAAATCTGAAACATAGTGTTTCTTGAGTTTTGAGGAACACTAACCCAGATCTCTGGTGTGAGATAGCAAACCTTACACCAGAAGGTCCCATTGTGCCATATCTTAGTCTGTCCTTGCACCCCATCCTTCCCATCCCAGAAGAAACACTTCAGAATTACTCCAGCATAGGTCACATCTGTCTGTTCAAGAGCTTCATATGTGTGCTCTTTTATGCTTGGCTTCTTTCACTTATCAGAATGTTGTAGAATTTATCCATGCGGTGTGTCAGTAATTTTTCCTTTTATTATTGATATGCCAAAAACCGTAACAACAACATTACTGGTGCCCGCTCGAGCAAATCGATGAACAACAGGAGGACTGCATTACTGCATAGTATTCCATTGCATCAATTCATCATAGTTTATTTCACTTGGTGAACCTCTAGGCTATTTCCAGTTTGGACTCCTTTGAACATTCTTGTACAGTCTTTTTGTGAATAAGTTTATTCTAGTGTGGATAAATGTTCAGGAATGAAGCTGAATGTTGCAGAGCTGGCTGATAGGATGGGTGGGCATTTAATTTTTTTTAAGTTTTTTTAGAAACATTTGTATTGAGGTAGCAAGATTTACTATACTATTAATTATACTTTCCATGCATACATCATCTCCGCACCACATCTGTCACCAGAGAACCTGCTGCCCTTCCCCCACGTCCACAGGTCATTCCCAGACACGCCCCCTCTTATGGAAGCTCAGATCTGTGGACAAAATCTCCAGTTCCAATAACTTTATTATTCCTGTGGCCTTTCATTATTTTTTTATTATGTTTCTTTATATTCCACATAGGAGAGGGATCTTTTTAAAATTTATTTTATTGTGGACATAATCTGGGGAGCCTTGGGACTTTGTTCCCAGGGAAAAGTTATATAGGGATTCCAAGAGCAAAACTACCTATGTAAGGTTCCCAGACTGGGAACACCATCTGCAAGCCAACAGTTGTATCTGGGGCCATGGCAAAAATTCCCCCTGTATCCCATCACTTGGTAGCAAATGGTGGTTCTCTGCAAAGGGAAAATGTGACGTAGATGTCTACACAGAAAGTAAAAGGTCTCAGTGGGCTGGGACAGTCCCAGCTCTGAGTCATGTGACCACCAGATCTCACTCTGGCACTGCCCTGTGTGGGTTCTTACACTTAGGAAAAATGCACTGAGTAGAATAAGAGAAAAAAAACCTATTTGGGAGCAAGAGCAAGGGTGGTGGTGTTTAAGAGCCACTTCCACATGATGGGGGTGAAGGGGGGCATGCGGTAGCGGGGATAGAACTTGGGATTGGGATTCCTGCATGCAAAGTATGCTCTCCAGCCCTTTGAGCCATCTCCCTTCTGCCCAGAATCATAGTGTAATACTTTATGTTTACATAGTCGTTATTTTTTTTAAATTTTTTTCCCCTCAGTTCAGTCAAGCTGCAACAGAACTGTCTGCCTATACCTGCCTTGTTTGTGGCAGTGAATGATACTCAGCCCCCTCCTCTTCCTAGTCAGTGCCGCAGACTCTCCCTGTCTTTTGTGGCGGTGAACTTACCCGCAGTTACTAAGAGGCTGAAAGAGTTAAAGGTTTGAGCAACAGCAGGTGGGAAGATTTAGCAGCAGACCAGGATAATCAGGAGTGAGTTTGCTCAAACTAGATGCACCTCAATGTACAAACAGAAGAAATGAGAATGCCAAAGAAAGCATATCTGTTATTTCAACTGTCAGGGGTTTCATTGTTCAACAAACATATATTGGGAATTAGCACACAACCGAAATTCTTGAAAAGAGCTAGGTATTAAATGGTTTCTGAAGTTCAGCTTTTACTGTGAAAAAGAGCTTTGTAAATTGACTCTGTCTATAATTAAGGGGTTTAAATTAAAGTCCTGAACTTAAGTTTGGATTATTTTTATATTGTTTTTTTAGGTATTTTGCAGGCCACACCCAGAAGCTGTGGGGGCCACCTGCCTCCACCCAGCTGCTCAGGGGCTGGAACACAGGGACTCATTCCTCTGAGCCACAGCCCCGGCCTTCAGATTATTTTCATAACATAGGAAGGATTTTTATAAGTCAGAAACAGGTTATTCGCCTCATGAGAATCTTACGTTTTGTCAGAGACTTCTCTCTCTACATACAGTCTGTCCGCATGAGAAAAGATGGTGGTGAGTTAGATGCGCCACTGGGCCAGAATATTTCCTGGGTCTCTTGAAGTGTCTGAATAGGCACAGTCTTGGCCGTGGGGTCACCTGGGGTCCATCTGTCATCTGCTCCCTCTGTCTGTGCAATCTTGTGCTTTGTGATGTCCCCAACACTTTCTTAAATGCGACTGTTTGGGAAGGGGAGCCAATACCCATCTGAACGTCTCTCTCTCTCTCTTTCTCTCTCTCTCCCTCTCTTGTTTCACCCAACTTTGGAACTACCTTAGATTCACAAGGTCCATCGGGACTCAGGAGACAACTCCCAGACAGGTGAGAATGCTTCACTTTTCCTCATCTATGTGGGAGGCGTGGTGGGTCTCAGCATATTGGGGGCTCTGAAGAGATCAGGATGATTAGTACCCTCCAACCCCACACCTGACCCTCAGCGACAATGATTTGAGAATCTCCGTTGGAAAGTTGGGGAGGCAGGAGCAAGGCAGGGTCCTTGAGCAGTTTTGAGTCTTTGCTTCCTTTCTACTGAGAATCTTCTGCAAACAGGTTTTGTCTTGCTGGCTAGTGACCGTTGTCTAGCAGATGAACCCCAAGAGAGTGGTCCTAGAATCAAGAGAAGACATGTCCAGCCCTAGCCAGCCTTCCCTGGATAAATGCAGTAGAGAGCACAGGGATTTCCCCTGGTCTGGGAGTTTCAGTCCCCTCTCCCTCAACTCAGATTGGAGCAAGCCTTTTTCACTGTCTGATTTGATCTGTTACACATAAAATGGGGCTGGGTATGATTACACCACATATGGAAAGGTCTGGAACTCTCTGATCATTTGAGGGGAATGGGAAAACATTTACAGTGTCTATAAGTACCAAACCTTGAGCTATTAGGGCTCCTCCCCACTTACCCCAGGAGCCTCTAGGGAAGGACAGTCAGGGATGGCATGATGACCACAAACTCTATCTCTCTCTCTTTTTCTCTCTCTCTCTCCTTTCCTCCCTCTCTCTCCCATCCCCCTCTCTCCCATCTCCCCCAACACACAGTCTCTAAGATGTTTTAATTAGTTATTTATACAATTTACAGTAAGCACTTTCTTTTAATTGACTTAAGGCATCTTGGTACCAAAAATTGTTACAAATATTTCCACATCCTTTTCAGTGTCTGATAATGGCTTGATCATAACCGGATCAATATCCTATTCAATTAAGACAGAACATTGAACCATTGAAATGCTTCCATCGTGTAAAGTCTAAGTCACACCATTTTTTAACTCCTTGACTTTGAGTTCCCTGTGTAATCTCTCCACATTTAATTTTCTCATCAGCAAAGTAGGGGTTACACTCTGTAGCTCTCAGAATTGTGGTAATTTTTATAAGATGATCACTTGTAAAAGAAGTGATTAAAGGAATAACACCATGTCTGGAATGCCATAGGTGCTTGCTAAGTGATGGTTATTCTTTGTGCAAAACAGTGTATTCATTTTACTATTGACTACAGATGCTTTTACCTCCCTTATCTTTTTCTCTGATTTTTAAATTTATTCTACAAGCATCTGTTGAAAAAATGAATAACAAACCCTTTGATTGAAATGGCCTTTACTGAAGATAAATTTCTCCAAATTTGAATTATTCTATTTTTATACAATCTCTTAATTTTTGACTGGGATTTAAAAAAAAAACAAGAAGAATAAGTACAACCCATCTTTGAATAATTTCTAATGAATTATTTAAAATTCAACCTGCCAACTAGGGCCACATCCATGAAACTAACTTGAATTTTATTTAGAAACCCCATTTTGAGAAAATTTTCTATCTTAAGTAGAAACATAATGTTTTATATTAATATCATGTTTCTATTTAAATCTTTAATATACTAGACTTGATTATTTGGTAAACATATTAGGAATATAGATGGTTATTATGTCTCTGAAAAAGTAAAAAAAATATGTCTTGTGAGCAACTATGGTCATTTCATGGCGTTTGGGAAGTGCCAAATGATAGCAACATCACTTCAAGTGCCACCACCTATGATGTCTTTATAAGGAAATCTGGAACTTCATACCCAGGGTCACACACAAATCTAGTAAACAGAGTGTGGAAGTCAGAATTAGATCAACATACAATAGGTATTTTAAGTTGAGTCCTTTAAAAACAGACTTTCTGGCCACAGTATTTGTATGAGCTTTATAACAGTTCTGCTCTTCACCTTTTGTGACACAAATACAATCCACACTTAATCTTGTCCCTGAATCCTGGTTGAGGATACTACCTGGCTTTAAAAAATGCTCTAGAGAAGTTTCTGAAGTGAAACTAGCAGGCAGTGACTATATCAGGTACACCTGAAAGAAGGTACACATGCAAAGACACAGATTTGCACTAATAGAAATAATGGTTAATAAGAATAACCAGACTGCACTACCTCCTTGCTCTGCCCAGAGAAATTCATCCACATCTTCCTGCAGCCCGTCAGCCAGCTGCTCTGACTTTCATTCCATAGATGTTGTGCCAACAGAGATGTTAAAGCACATCCCTGAGTTACACAGCTCAGCTATTTAATAGAAAATTAAATTTTGGCAAGACATCTTATCAGAACTTTTTTTATGACATCTTATTGTCTCATTACTACTTTGGACAAACTTGTAGGCTATCGAATGTAGCCTGCCCACAGGGCAGAGTCTGGCAAACTCCCCGTGGCGTACCAAATATGCCAAATACCAGTAACAATGATGGGTCTCATTCTCCTAAATAGCCTTGAATATAATCTCAGGGCTAGGATGAAAGAGACGTTACTGGGGCCTGCTCGAGGCAATCGACGAAAATTTTGGCAGTTTGGTACTTTTTAAGTATGAGGCTTCCTGGCACCTCCTTTTAAGATGTCATTAGACCATTCTTTTTTCCAGTATAATTATTTTTTTTCTTTTTGGGTCACACGCAGTGATGCTCAGGGGTTACTCCTGGCTCTGCACTCAGGAACTACTCCTGACAGTGCTTGGGGGACTATATGGTATGCCGGGGATTGAAATGAGGTCAGCTGCATGCAAGGCAAATGCCCTACCCACTGTACTATCACTCCGGCCCAGGCTTAGTTATTTTCTTTAGCATGATATGGGAGAGAGAGAGAGAGATGTTCCAGAGAGCACATGGGCTTCTGCAGAATGGACAAAACTGATGGAGAATTCATAGAGAAGTATTTCTACATCTCTTTTTCTTATTGGAAGATGTTCATTTATTGAAAACCCCTCTGCTCCAAATTCCCTATCTGCCTCCTATCCCGCACAGTGATGAATGATTATGGCTCAGTTTCTCTTCTTGCTCATGGGCTCCCCCCACAAGAGGTCAGTCTCCTATTTTTGGAGTCCTCACTGCAATCTGATGTGAGATTACCCCATGCATTGTCTGTCAGCAGAGCTCTTGCATGAGCTGAACAGTGCATGCTGATTGATCAATTCAAGGTCTGCAGAGGCCCACAGAACTGAAAAGAGCTTTCTTTTCCCTCCTGAAAATCGGAACCCACATGGGTTGTTGGAAATTATTGGCATCCACAGGCTGCCCTTTCTGCTCTGTCCACCCTGTGATTGGCAGCAGACCTCATCTGATGCAATCATGGTCTCAAGAGAATGAGGTCTGACTTTTCAGAGGCTCCTGTAATCGATCCACATTCATTGCGCAAATTGCTCAAATTCCGACTTTTTGTGATCTCACTGTTATTTTATGTCCACAGTTATCTCCATAGAAGCCTTCCCCAGTTAAAGATATTGTCAAACTGAAACCTCCATATCTCCCGTTTTGACATTTATTTGTGAAAAGAAATTGTATTAATGCAAGCCACGACACTTGATGGTAAACTCCATCCTGTGTTGTGCTGAGGGCTGCAGGGACAGAGCTGCACTCTCGGCTGACGTGACAGTAATTCTGTTTCCGGGTGATTTGACGAGAAAGAGATGTGCTCATCTTCCTTTAAAAATGCACAGTGTTTGGAAAGCAACTTTGTTTTCTTGGAAAATGTATTTAAGCTTCACCTGGGAATAAGCAAAAAAAAAGAAAAACCCCAAAAAAATGAATCACTCTCCATTTCTAATCTGACATCCTCAGAGTCACACTCATTCCGACACAAGAACAGGAGGAAAGAATCCATTGATGTGAAGTCTATATCTTCTCGAGGCAGTGATGGTAAGCAGCACTATTGGATTCTTGTATTTATTTATTTTGGAGAGGGGAATCTTTTTTACAGTTGTGAAAAATGACAGAGGACCGGATTCAGCAATCAGTCAGCATATAAACAAAGCCCCTGGGAGGAGGATTTTAACTAAACTGGTTTTTAATTTTTTTACTTTTTTGCAGTGGGCTGAAATTTTTGGTTGATTTTTAAAATTCTATCTGGGGGATATGGGGGAAACTGGGGAGGGGGGAGAATGACCTCTCAAGCTATGCTTAAAGGACCTGGAGAACATTTCAGCAGTTTTCAGGCAAGTGGGCAGACAGTTCAGTGTGAAGCCCTGAAGATGCAGGGTTGCTCAGGTCCTGCCACATGCTTGGGGGCCTCAAGGCCTGCACCCGAGATGCTCAAGGGACCATATGCAGTACCACCGATCAAATTCAGGTTGGGACACAGAAGGCGTGTGCCTTATCCTACACTAACTCCCCAGTCCTGAAAGTTCCATCTTTTAAAATCTTGTTATATTCTTGGTTTTCTGTTTGAAATGACACTGGGGTTTGTTTCTTCAGGTGATGTTTCTTCACTATGAATGTTGGGCCACCTGACCAATGCGGGGAGTGTTGAACTAGCAAAGGTCACGCCCCACAGCTTGTGGTGGAAGGCCTCCAAGTCCTGCCTTCCCAGTTTCGTCACCAGCCATTATCCCTTTTCTTCCCTATTAAGATGTGACAAATGAACTCTGAGGCAGGAGTTAAGCATTTCTCACTGCTGCCACGGCATTGAGCCAAAACACGTGATTGGCATTCAGTCAGCCGGGCCTAAGTAATCAGTGTTAGCTCCGCAGGGAAGTGATTGTAAGGTTTCATTTCTAGGTGAAGAATGAATGAATGACTTCTCTCCTGCCTGGGAATGTGAGAACTAATATTTACAGGAACGGGACTGTATTCAGGTGGGAAGACATTGGGATGGGGGAGCCAGGGAGTCTGAGTAGATGAGGAGTTTAATCATCAGGCAGGTGGTCGTGCTACAAAGCAAGACCCAGGCTTACTCAGGGCTGGAGATGTGACTCAGGAGTTGTAGAGGACACAGCACTGGCCTGAGCAAAGGGGGCATCTGAAAGCAGGTGTTCTCAGTGCAAGGCTTGAAGATGCCCCTCCGTGAGAGAGGCAATGGGGCAATGAAGAGAAGAAAGGAATGCAGATGAGCCAAGTACCACAAATGAGAAGAGACTGGCAGGAGGGAGGGTGTGGCCCACCGTGTCAGGTGCTGCGGATGTTAGAGGGGAACAGATGATAGGGTTACTTTTTCATTGAACTTTGATTTGACAAAAAAAAAGAAATGGGATGATGGAGTCTAAGGCAGGAGAGAAATACGGTAAGTGACTGTGCTAGAGCAAGGAGAATGTCTACATTTTAGCTCTACAACCACCACAGCTATTGGGTGTTAAGAATCCAGAGACTTAGGCAGGTGAAGTGCATGGTCATAATTTGTGTAGAGTGGGCTTGTTCTTCTGCCTCCTGTTCTTCTGTTCTTACGCCTTCCTAACATGCCACCCGTCCCCCCCCCAGCCCCCCCACACACACATGAAGCACAGCTGCCAGGTAATAACATGGTTAGTACTTCCGGTCTAAAGGGTGGGGTTTCAGTGACTTAAGAAAAAGGAACCTTGGGGATTATGCAGGTTTTGAGTGGGGCCTCAGGCTCCTATCAAACCTCTGCAATCCCATCCGCCCACTCCACCCCAACCCAGAGCATGGGATTAAAGAGCCCTCCTGTCCAATCTTCCAGCGTTAAGAGATAAGTCAAGTCACTAATTTGGATCTTTTTCCGAGAGATGGGGGATGCAATGGGAAACGGCTGTCCTGTGCTAACCAGACCCTCAGTCCATGAATGGCTCTCTGGGGCGTCTCCCCACACCCCTAACCTGCCGCCCCACTCTCTGCAGCACCCAGCCTGCAGAACCGGCGCTACCCTTCCATGGCCAGGATCCACTCCATGACAATCGAGGCTCCCATCACGAAGGTGAGTGGCAGCTGCCGCCAGGGCCGCCCAGCGGTGGTTTGAACCGGGCATCCAGGGTAATGAATGATGTAGCTCTAACGTCAGCATTTACAGGCCGTGCACAGAGTGACACAGACATCAGATGTGACGCGAACACATGATATGTGGTTGCAAATTACAGCAAGTGTCTTTGGGGCTGAGGGAGGGGACGTGGTGTTGGAAGCAACTAAAGCATGCATAGGTTTTTGACGAGAGGAGAGGATAGAGAGCCTCGGGCACAGACACAGCAGCAGCAGGAGCTCAGAGGGTGGGGGAGGCAACCTGAGCCCTGGGGCCCACAGCACAAAGAGGAGAAGGGGAGGCACCAGCACCGCCATTATGAGCTGACCGTTTGCATTTGTGTAGTGGACATCACCGAAGCCTTTTAAGGAGGTTGTGGGATGCTGCTGACTGTATGCTGAGAACACCATGAAGCTGTGGAGAGTGGAGGAGAGAGGGCAGGGCTGATAGGGAGGCCAGTCAGGCTGCTGTTCCAGAATCCCAGGCCAGTGGAGGGGAAGAGAAAGAAAGAGGTTTGGGAAATGTCTCAGGGTAAAACAACTCTTGGTGATAAACTATAATCTCAGGGTATGGAGAGCAAAGCCCAGCCTCCCTCAGGAGCTTGGTGTGGGGTGTGTGGATTATTTTACTGCAGTGGAAAAGACTAAAAAGGAACTTTGGGGGGGGGTTCATGTTGTTTTGTTGTTTGTTTTTAAACACACCTTTACTTGTTTGGGGAGGGAAGAGCAAGATATACTTTAGTTTGGGACATATGAGTAAGATATCCCAACAAAGGTGCCAGTTGAATGTCTCAGTATGGCCATCGAACTTAGGAGTCCAGAGGCCCAAAGTTGGTGAGGACAGGGGTGTGAATGCGGATGGTGTGTGAATTGTGCCAATTAATGGAATTAATGGAAATGAACAAGTTGATTTGGGGAGTGACTCTGAGGGAGGAAGAGGCCAGCAACTAGCTCTGAGGAAGAAGGAGACCTGGAGAGGAGGAATGGAGGAGAAGAATCAGCAAACCAGCTTTGGAAGGGTGGTTCCCAGAGAGAGGGGTGGGGGGAAAGAGAGAGAGAGAGAGAGAGAGAGAGAGAGAGAGAGAGAGAGAGAGAGAGTGTGTGTGTGTGTAGCTGGGGAGGAGCGGGGTGTGGGTGGGTGGTAGACTGGGGGATATCTCCCAAGGGGCAATGGAAGAGCAGACTCTAGGGACTCCCTAGATAGACAGTACAGCCACCTGTAGGGCACTACAGTAGTCTTTGTGCAGCCTGGGTGTATGTGTGGGGGGGAGGGGTGGTTAGCGCTGGGGTCGCTGTTTCTTTGCTTTGCACATTGACTCCAGCCTGCAGTTTATAGTATTAAACTACATCTGAGCATGAGCCACTGGTGGTACATGCTAGCATCAACAGCATGTTAAAGAATATAGATTTCTGGGGAAGGAAGGCAGGCTAGGTGGGGTGGGGCATGGGCTGAGTGATTCCTTTTCTGGAAAGGGAGCAGGTCAGATTAAATTGGGACCCTCTGCTCTAGTGAGGCGAGAGGTACCAGGGAGGCATTGGCCATTTTGAACACATCGAGTGTTAGTATCTGAGTTCCCAGTCCTGTGTCTGACTTTGGGGAAGGAGAATCCTAATGTCCTCAAATTTGTTCTCTTCTGTTACTGCCTTAGGTTATAAATATAATCAATGCCGCCCAAGAGAACAGCCCTGTCACTGTAGCCGAGGCCCTGGACAGAGTTTTAGAAATTTTACGGACCACCGAACTGTACTCCCCTCAGCTGGGTACCAAAGATGAAGACCCGCACACCAGTGACCTGGTCGGAGGCCTAATGACGGTGAGTGAGGAGGGGAAACCTGAAATGCCAGGGAGGCTGCATCAGACATACTCGAGTGCATGGAACCTAGAGACCGTCCCCTTGAATCTCAGAAAAACTATTCATGAGTAACATACACACAAAAGCATTTCTGTTATTATTAAAAAGATACTAGCCCAACCTTTTCTAAAACTTACCATTAGAAGGTCATAGCCCCAAATGTGGCCCCTGACTTTGGCTACCAACAAGTAAATTTGAGGCATAGGAGAGAAGTGCATTTTCCTGGGGGGTTGGGAGGGAGTGCAATAACCCTCGTCCAGAGCAAGGTCATGTCTCTGATTTCACTCATGCTGCTTCCGAATGCCAGAAGGGAAAAAAATAACATGAAACAGCCAACCCATAGTTGAGGGGTGGGCCTGGATGCTGCTTTCTCTGTTTGAGTCTCTGTTGCTCACCTCCTGGGGCTAATCCCGTGGAAGGAGAGTATCCCTGTCTTAAGGCATGAGCTCAGCCACCGAGCCACATCCTGACTTAGTGTGGAGTTTCATCCTGGACTTGCATTGATGGCATCACTCAGGCCTCGGCTTTGTTTGGCTAGTGAGAGGAGTGAGCGTGGTGGCGTGTAAGGCGTGCTCCTAATGGCATCTTTTTCTCTTCCAGGATGGCTTGAGGAGGCTGTCAGGGAATGAGTATGTGTTCACTAAGAGTAAGTTGTCACCAGTCGCCCCAGTCAGAGGGTCTCTCTGGCCTACGCTGGAACCCAGGGCTTTGAGTTAAAGTAATTTCTCAGCCCTGGTCACATCAGAATGAGAAGGTGAAATATTGATGCAGAAAAGCTCCCAAACCAAATGAGTCTATTTGGGAAATATCCTGGAGTTTAATACTGTGAGAGAAGAACCTTGAAGGTAGAACCTTCCTAGCCTTAGCAGTCCAAGACATTCTCCCCCAGGACCCCAATGAGAGGGATGCTGGTGCCCCTCAAGCTTCCAGTCTCACCTGACCCCCACGTCCACTCTGTCTGCTCAGATGTGCACCAGAGCCACAGCCACCTGGCGATGCCATTGACCATCAATGACGTGCCCCCCAGTATTGCCCAGCTGCTCGATAACGAGGAAAGCTGGGAGTTCAACATCTTCGAGTTAGAAGCTGTCACGCATAAAAGGTATGTGACCTCTGGTGGCCAGCGGCAGTGGGCTGGTGGCCACATTCCGCTCAATGCTTCCACCTCTGGGACTTGGAGGAGGTGAACCCTTGCCAGAGGCCTCCCAGGATCCACCTCTCCTGCCACGCTCAGGAGTGTCCATCAAACAGGGACCCTGGGTGAATGGCTTGGTGGAGAGAAACAATGTGTGGGTGAGAGGTGGATCCAGCTAGTAACAGCCCAGAGGAGGAAGTCCCCACTGTCCCTCTCACATCTCCCCAGGTCCTTCCTTTCTACCGGTGAGTCCCAGCAGCCTTAATATTCTCAGCCCCCAGCTTGTTAGAACACCCCACCTTAGCAAAATGAGCTTGAGAGTAATGTAGACTTCCCTTTTGCTCTGTCTGTCAGCAGGGAGAAAGGTTAGGAAACTCAAAAGAAGCCATCTTCTAGAGCAGGGGAAGGGTGTTTATCCCAGGGATGCAGCCAATAGCACTTTCAGGATGCTCACCTGTAGATAAGTGACTCTACAAGCAATGCCTTTAGTCCCTCAGTGGGTCCAAAGTAAGGTGTTGTGAAGGGTTATGAGGAAGCAGAGATAGAAAGGGACCAGCAGGAACCTTCTTGCTTCTTAGAACCCCTTGAATAATTTGAGATTATCTCTAAATCATTTGGGTCGTTCAGCATAAAGCAGCTTGGAATAAGGAAAATCATGAGGAAAAAATGCTTCATCTCCTAGTTCAAGGAGTCGGGAGCAGAGATGTTGTAATGCTGCTGTGTGTGTCAAGTAAACCTCAGAAAAAGAAACGCCTCCATGCTCTTATATCAGCAGAGAAAACTCTTTCTGGACCAGTGAGTACAGTGACTCAGAGTTTTTCTGTTTTGCAGACCATTGGTTTACCTGGGCTTAAAGGTCTTTTCCCGGTTTGGGGTGTGTGAATTTTTACACTGTACTGAAACTACTCTCCGAGCCTGGCTCCAAGTGATTGAAGCCAACTACCATTCCTCCAATGCGTACCATAACTCCACTCATGCTGCCGATGTCCTGCATGCCACAGCCTTCTTCCTGGGAAAAGAAAGAGTGAAGGTAAAGCCTTGATGTCACATTTTGTTACCTGCAAGGGTTTGTGACTGGAAATGGAGGAACTGTGCATTCATTGGGCAGTGAGTTAGCAATCACACGAAGTTTTTTGGGGGCTACCATAGCCGGGTCATTTTGATGTTTCTCTCTAGCATTTGGCCTTTCTCTTTAGCCTTTCTCTTCCCGGAATCCCTAACACAATCATCAGGGCAGACTCCTTCCTGTGTCAGGGTGTTCGATGAGCCTGTTCACTCCTAGATGTTCACTTGGAGTCCTTTGCAATTACTCAGTTAGAGGCGAGAACAATTGTGTTTATAGGTCTGGAGGTTTTCAGACTGAAATTACGCCACTGGTATTTGATGGTGCAGATGTGTAATGAGGATTCTCCTGAATGCTGATGTGTGTTTTGTGGAGGTGTGAAGCTATATGTAAGTACATTCGTGATGGTTATGTCATTCTGAGGAAGCGCTATGTTCCTTAGACTTAGACAACACAGAGGGGGGCTCTGTCCTGTGTGCATTGATGATAATTCAGCTCGATAACATACAACATGTCCTGAACAGGTTTAATATAGGCTAATAGAGCACGCTTGGTAGTTGGTTGCATTAACTGCTCTTTCGGCTCAGGGACTGATTGAGACATCACACCATCGTCAGGCTTTGCTAGAGGAATCACTGTATGGCTGTGTACAGGTGCTAGTTTATACGGTAGCTTAGTGTAGCCCAGGCGTAGCTGACATGGGAGCCCCAGCTTTCCTCCTCTCTGAGGACCACCACTTATTCAGCACTGACCACTCTGGTTTGTTCCTTGGTTGCAGTTAGCACCAAAGCTAAGAGCACAGATACTCCTGAGAGAAAAGCTACGTGCAAAGTGAAATGCACCTTAATCTGCAAACCCTGGATTCCTTTGTTCGAAGGAGATGAGGGGCAGCAGACAGGAAGGAGGAGCAGAAAGAGCATGAGAATGGGGAGAAATAATTTCCTTCTCAGTTTTACTTGTCTCATCCTGATACTCACTTTCACCAGCCAAAAAGCAGAGAAGATAAGAGGAGAATGAATGACACCTTTGTAAAGTTCTTTCTTCTCCATTGAGAAACGGTGATGTCAGCTGTGTTTTCTAGCACCTTCCTAAGAGGATCTAAGGGCTGGAGCGATAGTACAGTGGGTAGGGCATTTGCCTTGCACATGGCCAACCCAGGTTTGATCTCTGGCATTCCAAATGGTCTCTGAAGCACCACCAGGAGTAATTCCTGAGTACAGAGCCAGGAGGAACCCCTGAGCATCGCTGGGTGTAACCCAAACAGCAATAATAAAAATAATAATAAGATTCTCCCCCATGCCGCCATCAAGTTCACTCTCCCCTGCCTCACGCACCCTCTGCTGAGGCTGCAAATGGTCAGTGAAAAAAGATGTGGGGCCTCGAGACTAACACCAAAGTGATGGAAGCTGCTGGGGTCAGGGCTTAGTGTCACAGAATTAGCCTGGAATCCCTGGTAGATCAGGCCCACAGATCACTGCATAGCTCCATTCCCCCAGATTCAAACCTTTCTACACACAGTGAGTGTTGCTGGATCCTTCAGAGTCTGCTAGGATTCCTCAAGTTGCAGCAACTGAAACAAGTTCAACCCAGTGTTCCCAATTGAAATGACCCATGCTAACCCTGAAAGGCCCTGCCGGACCCTCAGAACCCAGAGAACTGCAAGGACCCTTGGCAGGTGGGGCTGAAAGATGCCCACAGCCCCAAACACTGAGAACTGCAAGGCCCCTGAGCAGGTGGGGTTGGCAAAAGTGCCCCTGAGCTCCGAGGGGTAGTACCCATAGCCCATGTGCCCCGAGGACCTCTGAGGCAGTTGTGTCCCTGGAGACTCATACCAGGCAGCCACTCCCACTCCCCCTGCTCCTCTGGGAGACCCGTCCTCCACTGAGTCCTTCATCTGCAGTGGTGCTCCCAGCCTCCTGGGTTTGGGTTCCCCCGCTGGTGCATCCCAGAGGTCCTTTATTCACTGAACTTCTCGTCCTGGCCATGGTCTGCCTGACCACTCTGGTTTGTCCTTCCTTAGGGGAATCATCCCAGCTCACCCGCACCACAGGTGACTTACAGGGGAGCCAGAGGCCACCCCATGACTCAGTTTCTAGCTAGAATGAAATCCCCTGAGAAGTCCATTTCTCCAAAGCTGCTGGACTCGTTTCTGGGCCCAGTGAGTGTCAGGTGACTAGGGATTGCCAAACTGCCCAGTTCCAAGAGAATCAATAGTTACCAGGGAGTTTGATGACCTGCACAGTAGTCCCCTGAATCAATCTCCATGGGGACACACCCAGTCTCTGTGTTTCCTTCGGAGAATATTCCCCAGGAAGTTTGTGTGTATGGGCATGGATGTGTATCTTTCCATGTGGAGTCTGCCCCAGTGAGTGTTCAGCTCTGCCTGCGCTGACACCATGCCAGCATTGTATACGAATGGGGTACTGGGGGGTTCTAGCACTTCGTATGGTCACAAGCACCCGTAAGTGTGTTACTGAGTCAGTTTATTAAGGCCAGTCCTTTGGGGTTTTTTGTTTGTTTTGTTTTGTTTTGTTTTTCTTTTTGGGTCACACCCAGCGATACTCAGGGGTTATTCCTGGCTCTGCACTCAGGAATAATTACTCCTGGCGGTACTTTTGGGACCATATGGGATGTCGGGGATTGAACCTGGGTCAGCCACATTTAAGGCAAACACCGTACCCACTGTACTATTGCTCCGGCCTCAAGGCCAATCCTTTGTGTTACAGCCTGCGTGAGACTATCTTCTAAGGTTGTGAGTCCAAAAGCATTTTTCTCCCTTGATGCTCCAATGTGTGAGCCTCAGACAGGGGGTCTCTGCCTCTGCCCCCTGTAGGGCCAGAGCAGCATTTCATACTACTAGGACCTCCCGCTTGTGCCACTTGGGGCCACAGTCCCCATCTTGTCAGATGTAGGCAGATAAGGGCCAGAGGGCTAGATGGACAGGGCTTAAGGCGCTTGCCTTGCATGTGGCTGATCACAGTTTGGTTTCCTGGCACCACAAATGCTCCCTCAAGTACCACCAGGAGTGATCCTTGAGTGCAGAGCCCAGAGTAAGCCCTGAGCACTGCCAGGGGTGGCAGTAAGGAGGCAGATCAGTCATATTTGTGATGGGGGGGCCACTTTGTGCTTTGGAAAGGATCTTGAAAAGGATCCTAGCAATGTGGCAGGCATTTGAAATAAGTCCATTTGACTTCTTTTTGGAGACCAAGACTGGACTCCAGGGAGAGAATTTATCCATTATACTGGCAGCCAAGATTTCTCTTTTCCTGCTAAAAAAAGCTACAGCACTGTATGACTGAAATCCAATCACGAACAGCTTTGGAAAGGTCTATTTCACAGTGATTCGATAGCAAAGTTAATAGAACTAAAACAGCCATGGCAAACTGAAGCCTTGCATCCTGGCGGCCTTTCGACTACCAGGATTTGGACAGACTCAGCAGACGAAGACGCACCTTGTCCTCAGCCCACCTTTCCAGTCATCCCTTGGAAGGGACATGGTGGGGTCTGAGCATAGGGGCTCCCTCATGCCGAGGGTAATGCTCAGTCTTACCCGCCCCCTTCACTCCAGGGAAGCCTCGATCAACTGGACGAGGTGGCGGCTCTGATCGCGGCCACGGTGCACGATGTGGACCACCCAGGACGTACCAACTCATTCCTGTGCAATGCTGGCAGCGAGCTGGCCGTGCTCTACAACGACACAGCCGTGCTGGAGAGCCACCACACCGCACTGGCCTTCCAGCTGACCGTCAAGGATGCCAAGTGCAACATTTTCAAAAACATGGACAGGTTGGTGGTGGTGGGGCCCAAGGATTCGTGCAGTTAAGCCAAGAAGGTTTTGTATAGTGCTTCAAGCACTTACCTTCCTCTTAGGGAGGAGGGGAAGGAGAAGAGAAGAACGGTGGTATCATTGGGTCAGGCAGTGGAATAATAGCCTTGCCCTCGTGGATTAAACTGTCCTTTTCACTCTGCCTTCGCCTCTTTTTAACTGTGTTTGGTCTTCAGAGAACTCTCGGAATAATGTTTTCTACCGTGCACCACACTCAAGAAATATTGACCCTATCACTAATAGGTGTGGCTGGTATTTTTACCTCCTCACAAGGACATCCAGTCTTTTGTAAATCAGAGGAACTAGATCCTCCCTCATCTGGCCCCACCTCAACTTTGGGCCACCTTGAGCCTGGCTCCAGGGGCTGGTTTCCTCGTCAGGTGCCAGCAATACTGTTGAGGCTCTGAGGCTGGGCATGGGGCTACAAGCACTGGGACCCTCTGGAGAGAGTCAGGGAACAGATGATGGGAACGCAACAGTAATTTTGAGCATGGTCACTGCTACATCCATTACAGAGTCTATCTCATTCTAATCCAGAGCATCACCTGTTAGTGGGAAAATGTTCTTGCAGGGCCATCACCAGAAGAGGTCATGACCGGTCCCATAACAGGAACCACCCGGTCCATGCTGAATTCCCAGGGACAGCTCCAGTAGCAGTACCAGCCATTTAGGAAAGGGACTTTTCATTTTCTCCATCTCACCATTTGGATATAGCCAAAGGAAAGCAAAAAGGAATCCCCCTTTTTAAAATAAGGGTCTACCATACAACAAGTGGCACTGCACTGTCGCACTGTCCTCCCATTGTTCGATTTGCTTGAGCGGGCCCAACAATGTCTTCATTGTGAGACAAGTACCACCTTTAAAAAAAAAAATCAGATGTAAAGGATCAGCTATCATTCAAGGAAATGGAATAGAATCAGTAAATCCTGGCTTTATTGTGTTGCTGGTATCTTCCCTAATTTCTTAATTTTATGTTTCCAACTACCTTTTAGGCAGCTGGTGAGGAATGTGGTAAGATGGGAGCAGTGCTGTTTAAAGGTTCTAATTCTGAACTGTATGTGAACAAGGCCCTTTGTCTCCTGGTGATTTTAGGAACCATTATCGGACATTGCGCCAAGCTATTATCGACATGGTGTTAGCCACAGAGATGACAAAGCACTTTGAACATGTGAACAAATTTGTGAACAGCATCAACAAGCCCCTGGCCGCTGAGGTGAGCCTTGTCAATGTAATAAGAGACATCAGAGCTTATTTCCACCACGTCTACTCTGGTCTCAAAGCGTTTTTTCTCTCACTCTTTAGTACAAGGTGGTTATTTACTTAGATTGGTACAGAAGGGCTAAAGGTACTTGCCACTTGTTTTTCTTGAGAACAAAACATAGATTAATGGTGTTCACAGTAACCCTGTGCTAAGCCCTGAGATGAAGTGTGTAGGCGGTGACAAAAGGAAACAGGGCTAGAGAATATGACGGAAGGAACTGGCAGGCAGCAGAGACTGGCACAAGTAGTGGATTTTAGGGCCCTCACAGTCGATTTCTGACATGGCCCCTTTCAACCTTCATTACATCTTGAGGTCCCCACCCACCCCCATCCTACCAGTCAGTCCCTCGTCTCATGCCTTGGTGCCCCATTTACACAATTTTCACCTGTGACTCCCTTGGAATAAGTGGGGGCAGGCACAGGGGACCATAAGGCCCCAGGCTGAGAAATACTGTTTTAGGGTACCCAAATTTCTGTTTGTTTCAGACATCAAAATCAAGATTTTAGAAAACTCTATTCCTACTGGTTGGCATAAGAAGTCTATCAGTACCCAAAGACTATATACTATTGTGAGATTTGGAGAGACTAGTTGGGCAAAAGCACATTTGGTTTTCCTTTATTAAAGTTCACTAGCAGTACCATGGTACCTGCTTTAAGGTTCCTGTAAAATCTGGGTTTTAGAAACAAAGAAAGTTAAGAGTTTATTGTCAGAGGAGAGATCAACTGCCCTTAAAAGCCAGGCAACCATTCATCTGGTTAGAAAAGTTCTCTGCTCTTTCCTGTTGAGAAGGTTGCATAAGTGGATAGTTGATGAATGGTGTCTTAAAAGTCACTTGGAAATTGTTAGGGAGACCTCCCCTGTGCCAACCATCACCGCCATGATGGACCCAGCCTGGAAAGGAGAGACAGTCTCCACTTCACCTATATTCTGCTCCACCACCACCCCAAATTTATGCCACATCACAATTTCAGGACCCCCTTTTTACACAGAGGGTTTATGGGAGCAAGAATCTGGAGACGAGATTTAGAAAGGAAAAATACCCAGAATCAGAGAAGTCTGCAGCTTCTGCCATGTAAGTAAGCCCCCAGCTCTGGGTTAAGAATTATTCCCAGCAGCATCTGTAGTGAGGAGCATTTTATCTGTGCTTAGGAAACAAAACAGCAGCCTCTGAGAATAATTTTGCTCCTGGTCTAAGAAATCTCAAGACAAAACTGAATCCCCCACAGGCTGTGTAGGCTCTCAGGTTGACTGCACTCCTGAGAGTTACTGAATCTTTTCACACGGTCAATTCAGGGGAGCCTTTCAAAGCAAAGCAGCAGTCTTCCAGGTTTGGTCTAGTTGACTACTTGCATTTGTCTCAACCTACTCATGGCCTTGGTCATTGACATGCATCAGATATGTCAGATATACACCATCTGCTCCTGCCCAGGCTTATTTTCTTCTCCTACAACCACACACTTAAGTGGCCCATACTTCCTACCACCTGGGAAGATCCAGGAAAGTGCAAGGAGACACTTGCCTTGAAAAAGCAGAATGTTGAACCCCAGCACCTCATGTGGCCCTGAGCACAATACTAGTAGTAAGCCCTGAGCACCACCAGGTAGGCCCAGAACAAAAACAAAGGAAGCAGAAAGATGGGCTGGAGACATTGTAGTGGGTAAAGTACTTTTCTTGCATGTGCCAACCTGGATACCGAATAAGGTCCCCCAACTACTACGCAGAGTGATCCTTTAGTACTGCCAAATATGGAACCCCTCCACATCAAAAAAAAAAAAGCTAGAATGTGGTAGGAGGAGGAAGAGCAGACTTGGATAGAAAGTCATAGGAGAAAGAGAGTTGGTGAGCATATGAGAGAGAAATAGAAAAATAATTTCATTTGGTTTCTTATTATTAGTTTATTAAACTGTAATCTTTGTTTTTATACATTTCCTTGTAAAATAGGAGAAAAGTTTTTCCTTAAAGTTACATACCAAATTACTAAAAAAAAAAAATTCAAAATCTCTCTCTGTCTCTGTTTCTCTCTCTGTGTGTTTCTCTCTCTCTCTCTGTGTTTCTCTCTCTCTCTCTCTCTCTCTCTCACACACACACACACACACATGCACGCGCTCGTGCACACACACAAACCTAGTAACAGAAAAATCAGAACTGTTTGGAGCTCTGAGCTCTGCTGAGGAGGATGAACAGACAGAGATGGGAGAGGACCAACAGGGCTTTTCCCTGCCCACCTGTTCCTACGCTGTGTAAGGTGTGTTGCACGGACTTTATCCTTGCAGATTTAAGTAAGGGAGAGAGAATCTCTTCCGCTGAGTCCCCATCATGCCTGTGGGTGCCCAGGTGATCACCACAAGTACATGTCTGAGCAGTCAGCGCTGGTGACTTCACCCTTTTTTTTTTTTGATCACTCCCGATGATGCTCAGGGGTTACTCCTGGCTCTGCACTCAGGAATTACTCCTGGTAGTGCTCAGGGGACCATATGGGATGCTGGAATTCGAACCTGGGTTGGCTGCGTGCAAGGCAAACGCCCTACTCGCTGTGCTATCACTCCAGCCCCTTTACCCTTTTCTTGAACTCACTCTGAACTGACAATGTTTTCCAGATCGAGGGCAGTGACTGTGAATGCAACCTTGTTGGGAAGAACTTTCCTGAAAACCAAATGCTGATCAAGCGCATGATGATTAAATGTGCAGATGTGGCCAACCCGTGCCGCCCGTTGGACCTGTGCATCGAGTGGGCTGGGAGGATCTCCGAGGAGTATTTCGCTCAGGTGCGCTGCCCCTGTAGGGAAGAGACAGTTAACTTCGGGACTGGTCCCCAGGTCAAAGAGTTCTAGGGATTCTCCAGGTGGTAACATAGCCCTCCTTGGAAAGTAGATACCTATCTGGACCTAGAGTCACCCTCTGATTCCATCAGGGGACCTGTGTGACTGGGTCCAACCAAAGAATATCTAAGGGAAAAGTGATAAGGTAAGAGAGTCTTTTCATCCTCAAATTGTTGGATCCTGAACTTTCACAAAAATGAATGATTTGGGGCCAGAACAATAGTACAGTGGGTAGACCGCTTGCCTTGCACATGGCCGACCTGAATTCAATCCCCAGCATCCCATATGGTCTGCTGAGCACCATAGAGCCAGGCGTAAGCTCTGAGATTCACCGGATGTGGCCCCCAAAACAACAAACAAGATGAACCAAGCATTCTTTCACTCTGTTCTTATCTCCATGATGCACTGTGGGTAACAGAACTGATCAAGACACCTCTTGCCAGGGGGAATTCAAACTAGAGGATGTAGACACAGGTCCACGTGTTGGTTAAAAAAAAAAAAGTGAAAATGATCTTTTAAAGGAGGTAAATGCTAAGTGCAAATAAACAAGATGTTCTTTTCTTGATAAAGGAAGGACTTTGTGGGAAATGTTCAGAACATTTTTAAAGGAGTTTTTCCTGTGAGAACAAAGCATTATGAGCAAAACTAGTAAGGAGGAAAAACAGAACTTTTATAGAAGGGAACAGCAATTTGTAGTTCAATTTAGCAATGTGAAGAAGAGTCAAAGGAGAAAAAAACAAGATCCAGAAAATGGTAGATTGCAAGCTGCCATTTGAAATAACGGTCCTCTTCCCAGAGAAGAGGCTCTACAGATGGGTGGGAAAGTGCCTGGCTGAAGAATAAGTACACAGTAACTAGAGAATCGATTCCACTGTGAGTGAGGAAAGCTGGGTTACATGTGTGACTGGAATATTCCGCCAAGGAACTGCTTGTGTCTGGGTGGGGGCCGTGGCTCCTGTGGGGGTGCACACACTGTGGCTGTGGCTGTGGCTGTGTGAGACTCTGACTTGCGTTCCAGCCCCCAGCCCTGCCAGAGATGGCCCTCACAGTACTGAAAGGCTCACCATATCTAGCAGGGAGGGGCCATGACCACAGAGGTCCTGGTGAGTTAGCTGTAGAGGACAGGAAACCCCGAGGCTGCCCCAGAGATGAAGAAAACCCGAAATTACTCCTTGAATGGCACTGGATCTTTTTGGACTCTTTGACTGACCTACCATGAGCATGCTGGGCTGAACACAGGTGGGAGGCCATAAGCGGTCTCCCCAGAACCCACAGAGAGAACTCCTCTATTCCTAAATCTTATTCCTACTTTTCGCCCAGCGTGTAAATGGGGCTGAGGTGGGCGGTGGAAGGGAGGGGTAGGGGTAAGAGATAAAAAAAGAACAAACCTTTAAGTGATTTGTTGGAAGCTCCCTGTTTCAGTATTCTTGCCCCAAGGAGGAATATTCACAAGTCAGTGAAAAATGTAAAGGTGGAATTCCCAGACCAGACTCTGCCCACTGACCTGCATGGATGGTGAATCGTGGCTGAGTCCACATGAGCACAGGCACTAAGTACAAAAGATTCAGATATGACACACCTCCAGGATGTCTGGACCATTGCCCAAGTCTTAACACCGTCTGTCACTCTGTTGGGCACAGATACTATTTCACTCAACATGATACTCTCAGTGACCATCCATTCATAAGCGAATTTCATGACTTCATTTTTTTCCCATAGTATTCCATTGTGTAGATGTACTATAGTTTCTTTAACCAGTCATCTGTTCTCAGGCACTTGGATTGTTTCCAGATTCTGGCTATTGTGAACAATGCTGTAATAAACATACAAATGCAAATGTCATTCTGATGTATGTGTTTGCAGGGAGTATATTCCCAGAAGTGATATTGCTGAGTCATATGAAAATTCAATTTCTAGTTTTTTGAGTAATTCCCATATTGTTTTCCAAAAAGGCTGGACCAGTTGGCATTTCCACCAACAATGAATGAGAGTCCCTTTCTCCCCACATCTGCACCAGCATTGGTTGTTCTTGTTCTTTTTGATGTGTGCCATTCTCACTCAGTTCTTATCCAGAGTGATCGTTTCATAAGGAAATTCTAGCTGAAACTGGCTTATTATTCCATTGACTTAGCATTAGCAATACTAGAATCTTTCAGAGGTATCGCTTTCTATCTCTGTATGTATGTGAGATTACTCCCCACTCCACCTTTAAAAAGACCCCTCTCTTGAGCACCAAATTAAGGGTGTTTGGAGGATCCTCCCAGGAGGGGAGATGCATGTTGAAAGTAGACTATGGACTGAACATGTTTGCCACTCAAAGCCTCTTTTGCAGATCACAACACTCAAAAGGAGAGAGAGAACACAAGGGATTGCCCTGCCACAGAGGCAGGGTGAGATGGGAGGGATGGGGGTGGGAGGGATATTATCCATGGTGGTGGAAAATGGGCACTGGTGGAGGGATGGGTATTTGATCATTGTATAATCGAAACCCAAGCACAAAAAATTGTAAATCTACAACTGTACTTCATGGTGTTTCACTAAAAATAAAAATTAAAAAAAAGACCCCTCTCCCCATTCCTCCCACCTCTCTCCCCTTTCCCTCTGGCAAGGGAAAATTTTCACTGGGTCTAGGAGATAGTCTTGTTGGGTTTTATTTTTTTCCCATTCATTATCTTTAATTATGTTCTGTATAAATAAAATTATCTGTTAATTGTCCTTTACTTCCTGTCTTCTTGGGAGGGTTTGTAGTTGTTGTTTATTTGTTTTTTTGTTTGTTTTGTTTTGGGGGGGCACACCTGGTGGTATTGGGGCTTTCTCCTGGTTCTGTGCTCAGGGACCACTGCTGGTGATGCTCAGAGGACTGTATGGAGTGCTGAGGATCAAACCAAGGTCCGCTGCAGGCAAAGCAAATGCCCTACCTGCTGTACTTTCACTCCAGTCCCCTCCTTGACTTATTTAGCATAATCACTTCAAGATCCATCCATTTTGTTTCAGAAAACATGATTTAATCTTTCCTTTAAAAAAGAATGGATTGACATACATAGTTTACAATACTACTATAGTCATTTTAGACTTTTTAGAGCTTCTACATGAATTTATTTTTCTTGATGGCAGAGTAGTATTCCATTGAATATACACAGCCCAGCTCCATTGCCTGGTCATCTGCAGATGAACACTTAGGCTGATTATGTTGTGGCTACTATGAATAAGGTTGCTGTGAACACAGGGAAGCAAATATCCCCTCAGTGTGTGTTCTTAGAGTAAACCGCCTTTCTTGCCCCCTTCCCTTCCCTTTGCTGTAACAACTGGGCACTGAGTCCATTCAGCTGTGGTCCTTCCTCACTGGGGTTGTACACTTGGCCATGGGGATGCTCATCAGTCATGGAGCTCCTTCCTGCATGTGTGGGTTGTCATGCCTGCCCTGGGGCTCACTCCTGACCCAGTGCTCACATAGGGTTGTGTGCTGGCTGAGGGATCACACACTTTAGTCATGGTGGTCCTGCATGCCTGGCTGTGGACTGAAGACTGTGCACACTGCTTAGGTGCAAGTCCCAAATAGCAGAGCACTGGAGTGGCACTTGGTATATAGCAAGGACACCAGGGGTCAAATTTGTGAGTAGCAGTTTGACCACTAAGGGATCCCCCAGACTAGCTCTTTCTTTTTAAACTAAAGTATGTGAGGATGAATAATAAAATCACTGTGAAGAGGCCCAAGAGATAATACAGTGGGAAAGGCACTTACTGTGATGGTTTCTATCCCTGGAACCCTATATGGTCCTCCTGAACCCTACCAGAAGCGATCCTTGAGCACAGGGTCAGGGGTAGACCTTAAGCACCACCAGATGTGGCCCTAAAACAAAAACAAAATAACAAAACCCATTCTTGATATTGTGTCAGTTCTGATTTATGCTAAGGCATCGAGCTTCACATACCATTGCTCTACACTGTCTGCATAGATGTTCAGTATGTGTTACCAATATTAGTATTATTACTATTAGTATCATCCTTAATATCATGTTCAAAATTTGTCTAACCTTCCAATAGTGAAAACTAAAAGGAGCTATAACTCCTGAAATCAGTGCACAGGAGGGACTGTGAATAGCAGGACTGAGGTGCCAGATCTGAGTTTGGTCACTGCTGGACTGCCAAAGGCCTCAGGAACTTGCTGGGCCTGTTTCTTCCTCCGACCCATTTCCACAGTGGGTTCTGAGAAACCATCTAGCACCCGCTTGCCCATCAACAATGCCTTTTTGTTATTTTACAGACCGACGAAGAGAAGAGACAGGGGCTGCCTGTGGTGATGCCAGTCTTTGACCGGAATACCTGTAGCATCCCCAAGTCCCAGATCTCCTTTATCGACTACTTCATAACCGACATGTTCGATGCCTGGGATGGTGAGACAGATTGTGTTTTGTCAGTCCCAGGGGCATTTGTCATGCTTTATGCTGATCGCCTGGATTGGCATGGGTGGGCCTGGAGCCAGACCTGTGTGAAGTAGGGTGTGTTGTAAGTGCACACAAGAGCCGAGGATGTTTGATAGCTAGATAAGCACGTTTTCACCCCCCTTTTGATAACCAAACTAAGCAGTCTTAGTCTTAAAATTGGTAGAAACTCAACAGAACACAAAATATATTAGGCTTGCTCAGAGTGGGGTTGTTGTGATGTGGTCACTGAGACAACTTTTCAGTTTTAAATGCAAAGGATTTCTTTGTATTTGAGAAACTGTTGAATATCCTACTATGCTTGTGTGGTCACTTGCAGCCTAAGGTTTATTGTCAGGTTAATGTCTCCACTTTGGACCCCAAATTTGTCCCAATGCCCCAGCCTTATAAGTATTCTGCTTCTAATTTAACAGGCTTTCCCCCTATTATTTTGCACTAAAACAGCATATAATAATAGGCATCATTATAAATCATCATCTGTATATACTACATTAAGTTCACCACTGAATGTCCAACTCTGCCCTCCACCATACAATTGAATCTTTCTTTTAGCTGATTCACCCACTCCCACTTTCCTGCTGGTAACCTCTAAATTTAGTCTTTCGTCTAAATTTTTTTCTATTATTCAGACCCTTTTTGTGTTTATGTTCCATCCATGAGTGAAATCACAGTGTTTTATCCTTCTGTATGACTTAACTTTGCTATGTATAATATTCTCTACATCAGTCCATATTGTTGCAAGTGGAAGGATTTTATTTATACGAACATATTTGTTTTTCATATGTTTATGTATAGCCAAGTAGAATTCCATCACGCATACATGCCACATCCTTTTACTTCTTTCTGGTGGTGCTAAGGACTAAACACATGGACGGCATATGTTCTACCAACAAGTTACATCCCTAGCACTGTGTTGCATCTTCTTTTCCCCATTGTCTGCCGACAGCTACTTACGTGGTTTCCAACTCTTCTATTGTCAACCATGTTTCATGAAGAGAGAGAGCTCTTCAAATTACTAGCTCCTTTATTCTTCAGTTAAATGCAGTTACATAATCCTACCGAATTTCTATATTTTTTGAAGACTCTCCATAAAATGTTATCGAGACTGTACCAGTTACATTTCACCTACAGGGTATAGTGCAACAGGTCCCTTTTCACAACATCTCCAGCTCTTTCTGTTTCTTCTGTTTTGTGCATAATCTGATAACTCACGCTAGGTGTGATTTGATATGTATTGTTTTGAGTTGTATTTCCCTGAAAATAAAGATAATGAACTTCATTTTGTATTCCTATGAGCCATCTCTGTCATTTTTTAGAGCATCTGTACTTTTTTAAAATTGTTTCTCATCTTGTTGAATTTCATAAAATCTTAGTACATTTGATTATTCATTTCTTGTCAGATATAGGATGTGCAAGTGTATTCAGTAGTTAACCTTCATTCTGATGAATTTCAGACTTGCAGAAGCATTCTATACTTGATTAGTCCGTATTTATATTTCTTTTGAGCGATAGCACAGCGGGTAGGGCGTTCGCCTTACACGCGGCCAACATGGCTGACCAGAGTTCGATTCCTCCGCCCCTCTCGGAGAGCCCGGCAAGCTACCGAGAGTATTCGATATGCCAGACACAGTAACAACAAAGTCTCCAATGGAGACGTTACTGGGCCCGCTCGAGCCTTTACCTTTTGTTTTCCTTGCTGCTAGAATCAAGTCCTCAAAGGCAACTCTGAGGCTGATGTCGAAGTATATCGCCCATGTTTTATTCTATGTATTATAGTCCTTAACCCATTTCAAATTTTTGTGTGTTACTGGTCTCTTGCATGTCTGTGTTCTGTTTTTCCAAAACTATTTATTGAACAGGCTGATCTTCCTCCTCTATCCTTGACTTCTTTGACATTAATTATGTGTTGGTCTATCCCTGGGCTCTCATTTGTGTCATTCATTCATTCATTATTTTTATGCTAATACTGCATTGATTTGATTACTACTGCTTTGTTGTATAGTTGAAATAAAGTCTGATATTTCCATTTTCCTTTTTCTCTCAGCATTGTTTTGGCTAGTCATGATCTTTCAGTTTCATTATTTTGTTCTATTTCTGTAAAGAACGCCACTGAGATTTTGGTGAGATTTCATTATTTAGGTAATGCTGGCTATTTTAACCATGCTAATTTTTCCAATCCATAAGCATAAAATATCTTTTCATTTTTCTGTGTTTTTCTTTGAAAATTGCATAAGTTTAGTGTCTAGATCTTTCACGTCTTTGACGGTAAGCAAATTTATCCCTAATATGCATCTTTTGGTTCTTCTATGTCTTTGCAGCCTTTGCACATTTGCCTGCTCTGATGCAACATTTGGCTGATAATTACAAACACTGGAAGACATTGGATGACCTGAAGTGCAAGAGTCTGAGGCTTCCATCTGATAACTGATGCCAAGGCAGAAAAGGACCTCTTGATCTACAAAGGGCACTGAGAATCATAGTAGGAACAAGAGGCTTTCCGTTAGAATGAGAATGACAGTATAGGTTAGGAAATTAACGTCTATTATTTAACCTCAGTCATTCAAGTTCCCAAATTTCATTTTTAGAAAGTGATGTTCCATAAAGAAAAATAGATCATTTTGAACACTCAGTGACAGAACACACACACAGCAAACTCCTGTGCTCTGCTGTTATTTTTGTGTGCTTTCATCCATCTTTGGAGTGGGTTTACCATAACAGGACACAAGCAACAAAGACTTGGAGATCTGAGCCCATCTCTGGATGATTACCAGCTAGCTTAGCCAGTGTCCAGCTCATCTCCTACTGTACAAGTCACCATCACTCTGTAGCTTGACTAAATTCCGTAAGTATGAAGGATTCAAAAGAAGAGCAAAATTAAAAACTACACAAAAAAGAACAAAACCAGGACCAAATTACTGGTAAATTAGCACCCGCGCCTCCATGGCTAGTAGCTATTTTGGTTGATGGTGTGACGCCTAAGCTAAACAGTCTTGACCCCATGAGTGCCCTCTTTACACTGGAATAGGCAGGTTGCATAGGTGGGATTCTTTCCTCCAGAAAGCCATTGTGATGGGGAAGTGACATTTTGTTGGGGAGGAACCCATGAGATTCCCGTATTTCTGGTTTGGAGGCTGTCAAGAGACACTGTAGTATTATATTAAAGCCATTAAATCTGAACCCTTGGGAAAGCTTTTTTAAAAAAATTTATATACGTTTGCGGTTTAACATTTTTATTAACGCAATCTAAATTTTCTGGGTATAAGTCCATGAAGTATGCTGTGCCATATATCATCTGTATGTATTATTTGGGGCAGGGGATAAGGGAAGGTTCAGATGTTTTTACCTATCTATATTTGAGATCATGCCAATTTCCTTTAATTATGTAAAAAAAAGCATAGAAGATGTGTAAATATATGAGAAAACAGGTATATGGAAAAGCAGTAAATACTATTTTAAGCTATTGTATGCTAAAAGCTTCTAAAGCACAAGTGCATATTTTTATACAGCTCTTTTCACAACTTTCTGTGATCTACATAAAGTCAAATTTGAGATTTTACTTTCTCTTGGAACAACCAGCTATTCTCCATGTATTATAAATATTAGAAACTCAGTAAACAGTATCTTTGTTTTTACTTTAATTCTCTGTATATCATATTGCATTTTGAGGAGGTATAGAGACAACTGAATAGTTTCTTTATTCAGAAAAAAAATGGAATGCAGAACACTAGATTTAATACATGGAAGAAAAAAGATAATAACTATCACTACATAATGTGCCAATTTTTTTCTATGTTTTGTACCCAAAAAAAAGAAACATGATAATTCCATGCAAAGAAATGTATTTAAATTATTTTTGGTAGATGATGAGAACTTGCTTGGTCAGACAGCAGTGAGCTTTGTATTGCTTTGTTGCATTATATAAATGTGATGAAAATGTTTTTGTGATGTACTTGTAACTAAATTCCTACAGCCATTTTTCATTCCCAACAGCTGTTTTTATTTTACCTCTTTGGCCTAAATTTTTCATAATTTCAAAGTTTTGGTTGAGTGTCCTTTATTTCATGAGTCACACTTTTTTCAAACACATTAAAATCAGAATGCCAGAATTCCATCGTTAAGGATCTCAATTTTCCTAGGTTTCTGAAGTTTGCTTGAAGCAAGAATAGTCTTTCACTATGTCACTTTCAGTTCCGTTTGGTAAGTAACATTTATTAAATGTTTGACATTCTTCTATATGTATATCACCTCTTAAAGCTACATGCAATTAACTTCATTTTCATGTATATGTTATATTATTTAATTTGAACAGGTACTGAAGTTTTAGTACAGCTGTACTCTGTATCACGTACCCTGCTGTGGCAGAATCTGCTTAGTTGTTAACTACAAGTACAGTCCTCCACATAATTGGTTTCTTAGAAATTACCCTTATGGTATATCTATCATATGGCATCAACTGTAATTACCTCTTACATGGAAATGTTTACTAACACATTCTGTTTTGAAGAAGCCTTTTGATTTAGGAAAATGCAACACAAATACAGAAGGAAGTTGCATTTTAATACAGCTTACCCTGAAGAGTTTAGTATAAACATTATTATCTGAACCAGAATGATTTATGAAATTTTCAATGTACTTACCTGTGGAGTTATATACCATTGAGTCGACACGCTCGTTTCATTGAATTTCCCTTGTGTTGATGTTGTGATGACCAGGATTGCACATATTTTTGTCATTTTTGACCCTGCACCAAGGGGGCACACCTTGAGTTGTGGTGCTTGCACCCAAAATTGACTGGCTGGAAATTGCATGTGGTGGTGCCAGGACTGTTTTGTGCACATGCAGGAGGCACAGGGATAGGAACTACAGCCTCATCCTTACAAGGCAGTGGCAGATTTAGTCACTGGGACCTCTCATGGCTTCCCACCAGTTTTTTGTTTGTGTTTAGGACTTACTTCTGGCTCTACACTGAGGAATCATTCCTGATGGGCTCGGGGAACCATATGGAGTGCCAAGGATAGAACCCAGGTTGGCCACGTACAAGGCAAACACCCTATCTGCTGTACTATGGCTCCGGCCCCATCACCACAGCATCTTTACCTAGTCATCAGTTTGATTGATTCCATGTTTTGGTTATTGTGAGTAATGATGTCATGAAGGCATGGCTTCAAATATTCTTTTATTAGCCTGTTCATATCCTTTGGATAAATGCCTAGGCATGGTCTTGCTGGATCCCATGTGCAAGGAATTGTCTTTTTCAAGAAATATTTATACTACCGATAAAGGCTGCACCATTTTACATTCCCAACAACTACTAGACCTGAGTTTCTTTTACTCCACGTCCTTCCCAGCACACCTTTGTGTCTGGTCTCTGATATAAGCCGTTCTCACTGCACAATGTGATCTCCTTACGGTGGAGCTGGTTTTCATTTCCCTGTTACTGATGTTGAGCATTGCTTCATGTATCAGTGGGAAATCTATGTTTCTTCTTCAGAAAAGTGTCTATTCAGGTCTTTTAGCTTTTGTTTTTTTAACTGGGTTTCTTTTTTGTTGTGTGAGTTCCTTACTTAAGATATACATTCCCCTATCATGTGTAAGATATGCTGACTTTCTTCTACAAATTGGTTTTTGTGGTAGTGTCATGTTAAATTTGATGGTGACCCACTTTTTTATTGGCTGTTTTCTTCTATGTGTTTTATGGCTTCAGATCCAACAGATTTTATTAAATCACCATGAGATAGTTACAAACTTCCATGTTTGGGTTTCAGTCACACAATGATCAAATACCCATCCCTCCACCAGTGCACATTCCCCACCACCAGTATCCCCAGTATACCCCTCCTTTCCCACCCTCCCTGTCTCCATGGCAGATATGATTCCCCATAATCTCTCTCTACTTTTGGGCATTATGGTTTGCAATACAGACACTGAGAGGTTATTATGTTTGGTCCTTTATCTACTTTCTGCACACATCTCCCATCCCGACCAATTCCTCCAGCCATCTTTTTGTTAGGGATCCCTTCTCTTTCCAGCTGCCTTCTCCCCTTTGTTCATGAGGCAGGCTTCCAGCTATGGAGCAATCTATCTATCCCATGTATCTACTATCCTTAGGTGTCAGCCTCCTGTTATGCTGTTTTATACTCCACAAATGAGTGCAGTCCTTCTATGTCTGTCCCTCTCTTTCTGACTCATTTCACTTAGCATGATACTCTCCATGTCTATCCATTTATTTATAAGCAAAGTTCATGATTTCATCTCTGCTGACAGCTGCATAGTATTCTATTGTGTAGATGTACCAGAGTTTCTTTAACCAGTCATCTGTTCTAGGGCACTTGGGTTGTTTCCAGATTTTGGCTGTTGTGCTGCAATGAACATATAGGTACAGATGTCATTTCTATTGTGCTTTTTTGCATCCTTGGGATATATTCCCAGAAGTGGTATTGTGGGGTCATATGAAAGCTCAATTTCTAGTTTTTGAAGGACTGTCCATATTGTTTTCCAGAAAGGCTGGACTCGTAGGCATTCCCACCAACAGTGAAAGAGTGTCCCTTTTCCCCCACATCCACGCCAGCACTGGTTGCTTTTGTTCTTTTGAATGTGTGCCAATCTCTGTGGTGTGAGATGTTATTTCATTGTTGTTTTGATTTGCATCTTCCTGATGGCTAGTGATGTCCAACAGCCAAGTTTTCAATCCATTTGTTTTGCATTTGGCTATTTAATTTGGTGCTGGCTTGTTTGTCCTAGGTTAAATGCCCATAGAAAATAGATGTGTGGATCTATTTTCAAGTGCTCTAATACCTAGATCATGATTCCATATAGAGTTGCAAAAACTTTGTTTTAAAATAAATTTATGATTTATCAGTAAATGTTTGATTTCTATACAAACTTTATAAACTTTGGGTCACAGTCGAAAAAGTTTAAACAATCTTTCTCTTATTTCATTTTCCTGTTCTATGTGCCTGTTCCGTTTCATATTGTTTTAATTAAATGATGCTTTTTAATATAGTTTGAAGGCAGGGAATATAAATGCCTCTTTTTCTCATAATGGCTATTCAGGCTCTTTTGTGGTTCCATACACATTTTAGAATTGTTCTGTTTTCTTGAATAATGCCATTATATTTTTTAGGGATTGTATCTATAATGCTGTTTTCATTGTGAATTAAAATTGTGGCACAATTTGGCTTTTGGCTTTCCTTGGAAAGGAAAGTGATGGTCATGTATTTCTTTTATCATTCCAGGCTTCAGTTTCCTGTAATGTTATGGCATTGGTCTAGCTTAGATTACTGTCATTCTTCTGGTCTTTGTAGATAGCTGTAGAAGCAGCTGCTGAAGGTAAAATTAGTGAAAATGAGTTTTCTTTCAGTTTGTGTGTGATCAACAAATAAATCTGGTGTTAAGTTCTCTGACACATCAGTTTAAATTTATGAATAAGTTCACAACTAAATTCACCTCACCTGTTTTTAAATTTTTTATTTTTTAGTATCAAAAAGGTAAAACTCTTCTGTGTTACTGGACAGTGGTCACTGCAAGAAATGATACAAGTAAAAATCTTTCCTGAGTCAGAGGTGACGGGGAATTGGGCGCTTCTGGAGCATCCTAACTCTTGACCTATCTAGCACCAATCAAGGCAATAAGTATTTAATTTTCCGAGGACAGTTCACACTGAGGCAAAAAAGTGCACCTCTATAAAATCTCTATAGAATGTTAGTAGAAAAAAATGATTTAAACAACTTATACCAAAATGTTATGGGCAAACCAAGATTCCAAAGTTTCTGCTGACTGACTTTATCGCATCTCTGTTTCCAGCTTCATACAGGGTAGGTTCAGACACTCAAGTCAGCAATTACCACAGAGTGCAGCTACTATGCAGACTTTATTTCCTGCAAGAATCTCAACATGAAGATTCAGGATAATCTATCTCCTGCCAATGTTCAGTGAGGCTCTGGGATCAATCTATGTTATAATGCCTCAAGTTTATGAATAAGAACTTAAGTACAGGTGTCAAAATGATGCCAACTGAGTGAGAGGTCTTCTCATTTAAGTCTTTAATGCACAAAAATAATCATAAGTCTACTTAAGTCACAATTCTATAACTTCTACAACAGGTCTGTTATGTGAAAAACTCATATTCTTTGGTAAATATACTAATACTTGAGAGGCCACAAAACATCAGTTTACAAGTCCACAAAAAAAAAAAAAATTCAAACATAGAATTTTATGGCATGACAAGAAAATATTTTATAAATATAAATTATCATTATTATGGTTTTCAAAGTACTACCCTACTTTCAATGTTCACAGTTCATGCATAGGTAGTTACAATTCCTTTAACTAGGCAGCAAGATATAAGTCACCATTCTCCTCTAATTTTTGAAATAATTTTAGACTGCGCAGTCCAGATTCTCGTTCCCCATTTTTCCACAAAATAATGAGATGATCAGCAGAACATGTCACTAGTCCATGATCTTCAAAGTAGAGAAACATCTATAAAGACAATTAAAATGATGAATCACGGGGGAAAGACATTAGCAATAACAATGTACAAGATACACACTAGGGGGAAAGTCTTTGGATCTGAATGAAAAACTTCATTTTATCTTTATGTATTAGCAATAGTCACAAACACTAAATATGAGACAATTACCTAATATTATAAAAGTCCTAATGTACCTTCTGATTAACCATAATCTGTAACTGTTCAAAAGTTTTTTGTGCCACCACCAGTGGAACTTGAGGAACCATCTCCTTGGTTTTCAGAGGCCCTTATTATTTCTATTTGCATCATTATTTCTAGACAACTGATCCCAAAGAAATACGAACTTCATTTCTTATCAATCACCCCATAAGCATTTACTGTCATCCATATAACCCTACCCTTAAAACGGTTCTAATTCAGTTGTGAAAACCAATTTATAATTTGATAGTATCAAGTATATAAAATCCTTATAATCAGGTTACTAATCTTTGCACACTATGATTTAGCACAGAAAAGGGGGAGCTAGATTAATAATAACTGAAATTATTACAGAAAGTGCCAAAACACACACAACTCTCCAGTAAAAGGCAGCCCATGCCCCGTACTGGAATTAAAAATAGGTCAACAGCATATTGATGAGAAGACAGATGAATACTTCAGAGAGGAGCATGGAAAAGGTATAGGGAGGAAATATGGGAGCAGATTCAGTACACAAAGGAAACTGGAAATTTTCTGATACTTTCATATTATGACAAACATCCACTTTGAAATTCAGTTTCCTCTGCCATTTAAAAACCTTTACTAGCTTCCTACTCCATTCTCTTATTAGGGTTCCTGAGGATGGCAGGAGTTAAACTCTTGTTCTATAGCTCCAGACTCATCAATCTCCTCTTTGCCACCAAGTAGCTCTAATCTTTGCCTTTCTATCTGCCCAATTCCATGCCCACCACTCAAAAGACTTAAAACTGTAGCTCATCAAGCTAAACAAAAAGCTTCCCTCTCACTGGCATAAGACATTCTACCCAGCATCAGGGAGCTTATGGAGAATCTACATGATGCTCAAGTCTTCTATGTGCTACCTCGGGGTTCACCATGAGCAGCTAAGGCAGGCAGAGAGAAAAAATACAGATTTAAGAACTATAAGTGTGACACTGCTATTCCTAAGCATAAGTGTAGTTTCAAATGAAAATTTATTTGTATTTTGGATCACTTGTGGTAGGGATCAAACCCATGGTGGCTGTGTGCAAGGCAATCCCTTTCCTGCTGTACTGTCTCTCCAACTCTAAGGAAAACAATTTTAAGAAATTACTTGCATGTGGCCTGCTTAGTGTTATCACTAAGATCTATCTTGACAGATCACAGATTTTTGTTAAGGCGATGATGCTTATAGAAAATATTAATGTGTTTGCATTATCCACAAGATAGAACTGAATGCATCTGTAATTCTCAACTAATGTTTCCTATCTGCATAACAACCACCAAGACACTGGGTTTTACTGAAGCTAATTCTTCAAAGGAAGGAAAAATAGTGTTCTGTTTGTTGTTCCTGGAATCAGACTCTGTGAGGCTTTGCTTAACTCTTCACAAAGAACCGCAAGTCTCCATGCACCTTTAGTAGTTACATATAAATCAATACTATATAACATTACCTTTATTGTCAGCTTCTCATTTTGAAAATGGTTGTGAAGCCGTTTTATTAAAGTAGGAGCATTCCTTATTATCACTCACATAATCTTTCTCTGAAGGTACATCCTATCCCATCCCTAGTACCAGCAGAACCCTGATAAAAGAGTGTCAGCCTTAATGAGAGTAGCAGAGTCAAGAGTGGTAGAGAATTAGGATTTCCCTGGACAGTTATATGCCTGCTGCCAACAATACCTCCACAGATGATGAGTGTCCAATCAAATCTCCAAGAAGCACCAGTGAACATGAAGTGGCATTTTCTTGCTTTTTAACAGGTTGACTGGCTTGTTTACTCACTCTTCCAAATCCCCACATGTTAAAAAATCCTAGAAAAATAATTAGTCCTTTAGAAACTTTACTCCTTATAATAGTAAGAAATCAGAAAAAAAAAATTCACATACAAAAAAGTTCTGCCCCTATTTTAGTCAATGGCTAGGGAGATAGTAGTAGACACTAGGCTCTTTTTTTCGGTGGGGGGTGAGGGGGCAGGGGGTCATCTGGCAATGCTCAGAGCTTATTTCTGACAATGCTTGAAGGGACCAAATCCAGGTTAGCTGCGTGCAAGGCCAGCGCCCTATACTATTTCCCTCCCACCCCTATCCCTGACTAGGTTTTTGTAAAATAGGTTAGTTCATCCTTCTTGGCTTTCCAGGTGTGTTCATCTTTTTTTTTTTAAGTGCCTACTCACACACCCACTGGTTGAAAGTACATGAACGTGATATAAAAGCCGTGAGCAGAAAACAAAAGGCGTGGAAGGTCTAAACAGCAGTGTCCAAAACAAGGGCATGATTTAGCTCCATCAACAAAGATAAAAGATTAAAAAATCCAATAAAACACCCTATGACGTCAGGTAATCAGGAGAAAATTCTCTAAAGGTATCAGCATCTCATTCTTACACAAAGGCTGCTGTTTCCCAAACTTAACACCAATGCTTATGAGATTATAATTTGAATATAAAGATGTGGTATTTCTTTTTCATAAACCGTTTTTAATATTACTAATGCCTCAAGGTATAGGGAGCACTTCAGTATGGCAATTGATGGCACAGGAGGAATTCTAGTTTTATGTCAAGAGAATTATAATATAAACCAATCATTTTATCACATCAATCAGATTACCAGAAAGTGTTTTCCTTTCATACTCAAAAGCTATGAGTACTAGATCCTAACTACCACATTCTTGATTTAAGCAACTATGCCTCTGTGGATCATGATGTATATTATTTTTGTGGTTTTGAAAAAAAAATGTCTTCCATGTGAGATAGTGTCAGAGAAAAAGCCACACCTGTTGGTACGGGTTCAGCGGCGAGCTGCTGCTTCTCGCGTAACTCCCAAATGCGCACACTGCCATCTTCTGAGCAGGAGATCAACTGCCTGTCAGGACAGAGAGAGGCTGAAGCTGTACCCAGTGGCACCCAAGGATGCTCTCCTTGGCTCTTAGCAGGAGATAATAAAAACAATCTACACAGCTTTGCGGTGAACAGCACGGGAAGGCCAGTGCTATGTCACCCCCTCTTTAAATGTGCACTCTGGGAAAGACCTTATAAATTAGCCCATTTTCCAATATTTCAAGGAGCCCCCTTCTCTCCTCTCACTTATCTTTCCAGGAGCCCCTATTTCTCAAGTATCCTTCACAGAAAACACTATTCCCTTCGTAGCATTTCGTCTCTATTAATTCAACAGCCAAATTAGCCTGGAGAGGAATGACCTCACTTAATAGCCTGAGCGAACAATAAGGTGAGGCTATGGAAAATAACAAAAAGAAAAATTAAGACATACTGAGTGTCCAAGTTTTTTTTTTACCCTTTTCAAATAAATACCAGGTTTTAAGCTAGCTCTTCTTCCACCACCAGCCTCCTTCCTGGGGCCCCTGAACTATTTCCTCATATAATAAAACTCAAAGTCATTTGATCACGCGCAGTTCCTTGTAGGTTCTGGATCCCCACACCACAGCCTTTTCTGTTAGAGAAAGCCACGGAGGTGTTTTCCATTTGCAGAAAGTAAGAGCTGGCCAGGCCACAGGTCAGGTAAGCGTTACTAGAGAAGTCACACCCGGAGGAACCTGAATTCTCTCTGCTGCTGGACAGGAACACTACCTGTTTGGCAGCCTGGCAATGTGCAGGACGCTGGAGTCATGTGCTGTTTTCTGGCAGGCGACCACACGCTTCGTCGGCAGGTTATACACGTACAGACCCCGTCCAATGGCGGCAAACACATTCTGGGGGGAAATTCAGAAATGGTTGTGAGAACTGCAGTTGCCCCAGCTAGGATGATGGATTCCCCACCTCTGAGTGACAGCAAGAAATCACGGTCACTGTACAGACTTCTGACCATCCATCAATCCGTATTACTGGACTCTTCCCTGTAGTCTGAAAATAGCACCGCACCAAGAGTTCAGAGCATCTACAATATAGAAGGTTATGACTGTATACAGAAAGATGCTCTGTATCATACCCAGAGGAACTAATGTAACCTCCTTCCTCACTACAGTACAACATCTAGAGCAAGGAGCTGTGGCCTGTGGCCCTAGATTTTCATTCACATAACAACATATCCTTGGGAAATTAGCTTGCTTTTTTTTTGGCTCAGAAAATGTAAACAAGGGGCCAGAGCAATAGTACAGCAGATAGGGGATTTGCCTTGCACACAGCTGACCCCGAGGTCAATTCCCAGCATCTTATACATGATCCCCTGAGCACCACCAGGAATGATCCCTGAATGCAGAACCAGGAGTAACACTGAAGCAGCACGACATGTGCTCCTCCAACCCCACCCCATCCCACCCCACCAAAAAAATAAAATAAAATGTAAGCAAGGTTACTGGCACTGTATAGCTTAAGTAGTTAAGAGACTTAGAAGGGACAGGGGAAAAGACATGCTGAAGTAGCACTATCATAAGGCTTCACACTTAACATTTTTTACAGTTGTTTTTACAGTGTCAAGGATCAACCCCAGAGGCTCACATATGCAAGGCAAACACTACTACCAAGCCAAACCAGTCTCATAAAAGTGTTTTTCTCGAATGAAGTGCATTAGAAATAATCATTCTGTACTAGTACCAGTATCACTGTTTTATACTTGTGGTACTGCTCTACCGTGCTCACTTCCTAAGTGCCAGGATTCCCCCACTGTCCTACAGTGATCCCTGCCCTCAGCACCCTCACTTCCCTGTTCTATTAACTGCATCTCAGGGCTGCGTCCACGGGGATTGTCTAAATTTTTGCTTTGCTTCCTTAGACTCCACCTATCAGTGAGATCATCTGATGTTTTATCTTTTTTCTTTCTGACTCACGTCACTTAGCATGACACCCTCAAATTCCATCCAAGTTGCAGCAAACTGCAAGATTTTATCCTCTCATAACTGAGTAGTTTGGAAATAACATTTTTCAGGGGAGGAAAAGTGGAATGGGGGCACATCTTGTGCTGCTTAGGGCTTACTCTTGGCTCTGTGCTCAGGGAACACTCCTGGTAATGCTGGGGGGACCATATGTGATGCCAGGGATCAAACCCAGATTGGCCACATGCAAGGCAGCACCTTACCTATTATACTATAGCTCCAGCCCCCAGAAATAATACTTTGCTAAAACAACTTTAATCTTTTGAGGAAAAAAAACTGTCTTTGGACCACACCCACCAATGCTCATGGCTTACTCCTGTGCTCTATGCTCAGGGAACAAAGGGGTACTAGAGATCAAACCCAGATTGGCTGTTTGCAAAGCAAGTGTCCTACCCTCTGTACTATCTCTCCAGTCCTTTCAGCAAATATTTTCCCTTTAGCCTCACATCCCATCAAGGCAGGAAAAGCAAGTATTGCTGTTTCCCAGATGAGCAACTTACAGTTCAAACAAACATTAAAGTCACACAGGAGGAGCTAGAGAAATACTACAGGGGAGATTAGATGCTTCCCTTGAACTCATCTGGCCCCAGTTCAATCCCCAGCACCACATAAGGTCTCCTGAACATGGAATAAAACCTGAGCATCACTGACTGTGGCCCCACAACTCTAGTTTCTGTCTCACACACACACACACGAAACAAGATTTTGGGACCACACCAAAAAACAAGACGTGACATAAATACCTGAATCAAGGTGATGTTCTAGACCCTTTGCTCACACGACATCACACAGCTTCCAAACTTATTTTCTAAGTCACTAAAACTTTTGCTAATAGTCATCTCAGAATCTTTCATTCTTAACAGGTACCCCATTATGTTGCCCCTTCAGAAATTCCCTCCACATTGCTTTCTCATTTTCACCAGGAGGAGGGTGAAAAGGCTACAAACCCTTCTTAGATATACAGTAACTGAATACAAGCATATAAAGGCATCTGGACAGCCCAAGTCACCTCCCCCACCTACCTCAAATAATTGACGAAGTCAGTGCTCCTCCGAAGACTCAAGACAAAGAATTAGAGTACAATGTTTGGCATGACGAGGGGCCAGGGATGGATGACCCTGGAAAGAGAGCAGCATGCAGCTTTCTCTCCACTAATCCAGGGCTTCTTAAACTTTTTCTTTCCATTGCGACCCCTTTCCACTTCAGAAATTTTATGTACTCCAAGCATATGGGTAGACAAGTTAGGTATGGACCGACAATGAATTGTTTTTAAAATAAATGAAAACAACCTCCACATTCAGTTATGCAACTACATATGGGAGTCAACCCACAGTTTAATAAGCCAGGCTCTAAACTCTACCCCTCCACAAGCATCTAGCAATGTATGGCTTTCTAGCTCAGCCCCCTGCCCCTCACACTCCCCAACACATCCACATATGCAGAATTTCAACCCTAAGCCACAAGCACCACCTACAGGAAAACAAAAGAAGCTAACCCAGATGTGTAAGCAGAAATACCTCCACAAGCAGACACTGTAAAAACCTGATGGAATTCCTTAAAGAAAAATGAATTTCCAGGGGGCAACTGTAAAGACACACAATTGGAGGGAGGACAAAATGAGACAAAATTTAAGTGCCATTATGATGAAAGTTAGGTGAGAGTCTCAAAAACAGAGAAGTTCAAGATAAAAAAACAAACAAACATACGTACAATAAAAAACCTACAAGAGCACAGGAGTTCTTCACCAGAGACTGAGGATACTTTCAATTCCAAGCAGAGATGCTGGATAAGAAGACTTGGAGGGGCTGGAGAGAGCGTGACAGGTGGAACACGGATCTGGGTTAAATCCCTGGCACTGCATGTAGCCCCCAAGCACAACCAAGAGCAATTCCTGGGTACCGCTGGGTTCTGCCACTACCACTCTTCCAAAATGAGCACACAGAATGAGATTCAACATAACATGGGAAGAATGATAAGTAGACCCGATTTTATAGAATTTCTTGGATTAGATATAAATGACAAAAAATACTCCAAAGACAAAAATTAAGATTTAGGAATAATAAATCCCATGGCAAATATCTGGCTCCACTGAGAGAATAATGGGTGTTCTAGAAGGTGGGAGAGAGAAGGCAGCCAGATCATATTTGAAGAAATAATAGTTGAAAACTCCCCAAACCTAAGAACTAGCCACTGATGTCCAGGTAGCTAAGGAAACACCCATTTCATTTCTAAGCCCAAAATGACCTCCAAAGATACAATACTGTTAAGTCACTATAATCAATGATAGAGGCCTGTGAGACAGTACAGGCTCACAATGCCTTCCTACATACACAGACATCAGTTCAATCCCCAGCACCATGTAGCGCGCCCCAGCACTGAAGGCTTTTGAGTACCAATGGGTTTGGCCCTGGAGGCCCCTGACCACTGATGGGATGGCTCAAGAAATTCTTGGACCTATACATTGAACCACTGGCCCAAAGTGAGTGAGAATCACCTGGCGGAATTTCCAGGTCTCCTGATCACCACATGGGAGTCCCTCTACCCTGCTTCAAAGAAATAACCAATGATTTTTTTAAAAGTCTACAGTCTGCTAGACAAGAAGCAAGTAACATAACAAAGTACCTCTATTAGGCTTTCATCAGACTTCTTAGCAGAAACCCTACTATTTATTTGTTTAATGAAATGAGATTCACAGTTCTAAAAAATGGCAGTCCAGAATTCTTTACCCTACAAATCTATTGTTCAAGTATGATGGAGAAATAAAGGTTATTCAGACAAGCAGAATTTTAAAAGTTTCTAACAATAAACCTGTCCTGTAAGAAACACCGAAAAGGAGTTGTATATGAAAATAAGATACACAAGAACACAAAACCTCAAGCAAGGTGATAAATGGTAATATAGTCTATGCTAATATAGAAGCGAAGCATAGACTATAGTGATAGAAGACAACAACAAAACACAAAAGATGAGAGAGAAAAGGATAATCTGTACAGTCTAATGATGACAAGTCAACACAGGCACATAAAACAGGCCATTTGAGATAAAGTATAATATAATGTCTTGGTAAATACAAAAGACAAAACCTCTTGGTAAGCACAAAACAAACAAATAAAAACTGGAACAGGAGCATTTAGAAGAGAAAAAGAAGTGGAGAGAATCATCAGGGAAAAACCATCTAAATGTAAACGTAGATCGAAATAAAAGGGAGAGATGGTGCAGGGGACAAATTAAAAGGGAAAGGGTGTTAAGGGTCTTATATTGGAAGTGACTAACCAGGACACCCAAATATGGTCCCAGGAGCAGAGCCAGGAGCAATCCCTAAGCACTGGAAGGCGTGTCCCCAAAACAAAATGAAACAAGACAAAAAAAGGTGTGAACAAGAAGAAGAATGATAGGACTATTCATCTTCAGGTTTACTGGTTCTTTCCTTGTTATCTCCACTGTTAAATTTAGAGAATTTTAATTTTATATGTTGCATTTTTCATTTCAAAATTTGTATCTTTTTAGTTTGGGGCTTCTTTGGGGGATCCAATTCAGAGTTGCAAGTCAAGTGCTCTACTGCACCACAACCCCATGGGTCCGTTGTATTTTTTTTTTCTTTTTTACTAGTGAAACACCATGAGGTACAGTTGTAGACTTACAATTTTTTGTGCTTGGGTTTCAGTTATACAATGATTGAGCACCCATTCCTCCACCAGTGCCCATTTTCCACCACCACAGTATCCCAGTATCCCTCCCACCCCACCCCTATGGCAGGGCATTCCCTTTTGTTTTCTCTCTCCTTTTGGGTGCTGTGGTTTCCAAAGGAGGCATTAAGTGACAATCATGTTTAGTCTATAGTCTAGTTTCAGCATGCATCTCTCATCCAGGGAGGATCCTTCCAACACCCTTTATTTGGTATTCCCTTCTCTACCTGAACTGCCTTTTCCCCTAGTGTGTGTGGCTGGCCTCCAAGCCATGAAGTGAACCTCCTGGTACTTACCTCAGCTATTCTTGGGTGTTAGTCTCCCATTTTGTTACTTTATATCCAGATGAATGCAATCTTTCTATGTCTCTCCCTCTATTTCGGACTCATTTCACTTAGCATGATACTTTCCATGTAGTACAGTCAAAGAAATCATTGCTCAAAAGTTCCCAGAGTTAAAGAATGCAGATATACAGATCCAAGGAGCCAGAAGGGTGTCAGCTAAGAGACCCAAATAAGAACACTCCAAGGCATATCATAGTCAAAATGATGGATGCTGTGGACAGAGACACAATACTGCAAGCAGCAAGGTCAAAGAAGGAAATCACATACAAAGGAGCACCCCTTAGATTTGCAGCAGACCTATCAGAGGAAACCCTCCAATCCCGAAGACAATGGTGGGATATAGTGAAAAAACTCAATGAACTGAATGCCTCACCAAGAATACTTTATCCAGCTAAACTCTCACTCAAACTCGATGGAATTACACACCATTTTGTAGATAAACAACAGCTCAGGAACTTCATAGACTCAAAACCAAATCTAAAAGAAGGATTAAAGGGGCTCCTGTAAGATAAGAAGAAAAACACTTGTATTTTGTTTTTTAAAAACTTTAGAAATAGGTTTTGGGGGTTATGTTTTGTTTCTTTGAGGGAGGGGTAGTTAGGACATACCTAGCCTGGTTCTCAGGGAGCACTATGTGCTGAGGATCAAATCTGGGTTGGCTGCACGCAAAGAAAACACCCTACCTGCTATGATCTCTCTCCAGTTCCCCAAGTTTTATGTCCTAACAACTCACAGGGATGCTACCCATAAGTTTATTTTGAAACATAAACCCATTTTAATAAAAACAAATTTGATTAAAAAGTTGAATTGTTAAAGGCACTGATTTCTCTGCTTTGAAATCACGGCTAAACTGAAAAGAGCAAGCTTGCGTTAGCAGGAGTCTCATGTTAGGGCCAGAGAGAGCGGGTAAGGCACTTGTCTTGTATATGGCTGCTCCTCACTCAATCCCCAGTACTCCAGATGGTGCCCGGAGCCCCTCCAGGAGAGATCCCTGAACACAGAGCCAGGAGTGCCTAACTCTCCCCACCCACCGCCAACAGTCCCAACACACAGTCAAAAAAGAAAAATCTTGCTTTTTGTTTCTCCACTTTTAGATTTTCTTTCAGCTGCAAAGTCTCAGCAACTCAAACTTTCGTTCAGTTTTGTTTTGTTTTTTTTTTAATCCTCCTTGGTATGTCTTGACTCTGACCTATGCATGCGTAATTTCGGGATGACTATTTAGGCATAATTTACAAACAAATTTATGACTTGTTATAACTATTCCACCACCCTTGCTTCTTATCAAATGATGGGTGTATTACCTTAAATTTTCAGTGTCTCAAACTCTCTTCTCACTCTCCATGACTAGAAAGATGCCAGTTTTCAACACGAGTTTCAGCCACTCTCTGTGCCAAATGTGTCCTGCCCTCAACCTGAAGTAGTTGGCGGAAGCCCATCTGTACCACTTTCTCTTCTAAGTCTTAACATCCTTTCCAAATCTGCCTCTGTTTATGTACAGTCCTATGACTTCGGATGTTTCTGTACAGTCCAGTGACTTTATTCTGTGAGTTATTTCTATTTTGCCAAGTTTATAGCTGTCGTGAAGGAGGGCTAATACAACATGAACTTATTTCACCATGGTAGTGGTGCTCTAAATTAAAATGCAAATTCCTGATGATGATATATAACTATCAGAATCTGCCTCCTGTCTGCTTCCCATCCCACGTTCCAGTCTCCCATTTGTTCTCAGCTCACCAACGACACTGGCCTTTCACAAACAATTATTTTTGCTTCTCCTGCCTCTAATTTTTGAGTAACTTTTCACTTAAGGAATTGTTTATTTTCAATAAATTATCATTTTATATGTAAAAAATAAATCACTCTTATTCAAAACCTTGGCCAGTTCTTGGTAAAACCTCTATTTTTATCTCTTTTCAGTTCCTTTGTTAATCAAATTAAATAATGTACAATAAAGCTAGTACCGATTTTCTTTGTTAAAAGCTACATGTGATAAAGAAAAAGCAGAATTTTGCAAGATGAGAAGATGGCTCAGTGGGCTGGAGAGTTTGCTTTGTCTATAGGAGGCCCGGCTTCAAGCCAAGCACCACCAGGAGCTACCCACTGTGCCTGGGCCAGGTCTAGCAAGGAGTGGTCTCTCAGCACCACCAGACAGGGTTCAAAACCCAACAACGAAAGCAAAGAAACTGAGATTTCTAACTCTGGCACTTAGTTTTAATATTTCTCAAATTATTGCTGTTTCCTTTACTTCCACATCTATCTGATTGTTTCAGACTCCAAAATTCAAGGTAGTTTCATGCAAAATAAATGAAGAAAACTAGAAACATAAACACCTCATGATCCAGCACTTCTACTTGTACATATTCACCTGAAGCATTAGGAAAACACTCTTTCAAAAGACCATTTGTACCCCTATTTTCACCGCAGCATTATCCACAGTAACTAAAACATGGATCCAATATAAGTGCCCATTAACAGATAACTGGATAGAGAAGCTGTAGCACATATATACACTCCATAATGGACGACTGCTTTGTTATTTTTAAAAACCATGAATTTATGCCTTTGGGGACAAAATTTATAAACCTTAAGGTAATATACTAAGTGTTGGGGTCAGAGAGATAGTACAGCAGGTAAGGCACTTGCCTGGCACACAACTGACTAGGGTTCAATCTCTGGCATCCCACGTGGTCTCCTGAGCCTGCCAATGAATGATCCCTGAGTGCAGAGTTAGAAGTAACCCCTAGGCACAGCTGGGTGTGTCTCCCCCACACAAAAAGGGTGATAATGTAAAGTTAAGTAAGGGTATGAAAGGCAATACTAGCCCGCTTTTTTTGTGTGGGATGAAACAGCAAAAGCAAAAAAAGTAATATAAAGTAACAAATTAAATCCCAGACTTGATGAAAACTATGGTACTTACTGGAGGAAACAGGAAGGAGGTAGAAGAACAGATAGAGGAGCAAAGCTAAACCCCTAAAATTCTATAGTACTGTTAACCAGTGATATATCGATTAAAAACAGGTGTGTATTTATGTATACATATGTGCTTGATAAAGAAATGGAGGGGGGAAGAAGACAAGGAAGGGAAATAACAGGAATAGGCGTCAAAGGCCTCTGGAACACTGGTAATATGGAAGAGTCCTTCCCACCTCAAGAATAGAAGATGAAAATGCTTTTATAATGCAAGTGCAATCTTTGAAAAACAGCAGAATATCTTACAGCATAACCTAAACATAGGAAAAAATATCCTTTCATATCCAGCATGAAACACTGTCCTGTCACTGTCCTCCCGTTGTTCATCAATTTGCTCAAGCGGGCCCAGTAACATCTCCATTGGAGACTTTGTTGTTACTGTGTTTAGCATATCGAATACATCATGGGTAGCTTGCCAGGCTTTGCCGTGCGGGCGAGATACTCTCGGTAGCTTGCCTGGCTCTCCGAGAGGGGCGGAGGAATCAAAACAAAATCTTAAAAATTAGTAAGGATTATATTGAAAAGGGAAGTTTGGAGATGGAGAGGTTGTACAGTGCCTTGCATGTGGTCCAGCCTAATTCAATCCCCAACCCCACATATGGCCCCTTAAACAAAGCTAGAAATAACTCCTGAGCTCAGAGCCACAATTAGCCCCTGAGCACTGCCAGGTGTGGCCCGACTCCATTCCTGAAGATAAAAATGAATAAAGAAAGTCTGTACACATTTTCTTTTTTTTTTTTTACCTCTTCATCCCAGGTGAAGTGATGAATAGAAATGTCATTCGTCTTTTGACAGAGTTTTATTTCCTGTTGAGTATCCAGCTGTGGAGATGGATCCCAGAAGTTGCGTTCACAGGCCTGCACAGTCCAATCCAGGCTATCCCAGATAATCAGTTCTCCAATGAGGGAACCCGTTACAAAATTCACATCTAAGAAGAGTGCTCATGATTAATCTCATAGGCTTACAGTTAAAGTGAATGTATTTCCAGAAACCACCTTAATCCATTCAACAGGGAGGTGCCCAGACAAATCAAACCGGAAAATGAACATATGTGAATAGAAAGACCAAAATAGATTCAGGTTTTCTTACTTAGTATGTGGTGATGACTGCATTTCAATTGAAAAAAAAAAAACACTACATTTCAAGTGAAAACAAACCTTATGCCAGAATATTTGATACTTGGGAAGTGAAATAAAATAATCCAAAAATACCTTATATTTATATCATTACATACTGGTATTTTCCTGTTTCTCCTTCACCTTCATACTGCTACCACGTGTTGTAACAGCAGACGTGTGAAGGTTTTTCATGCAAAAAGCAACTGGAAGACACTAGTTGTGTGGCCTGTGGTTTAAGTAGAGAACTTATCGAATCCCACACGCCAAAGACGTAGGCCCACAAGTTGCTCTTCCTCCCTCATTTTAGATGACAGGGTGATGCCCTGGTTGTTACTTGTGCTTCTGAACAATCAGTTGTAGACTGGAGGTTCCATAATTCTCTCTACTGACTCAGTGAAATTACTCAGGAAGTATGACAATGGTTTACTGTCCATCAATTTTCCATAAAAGGATATGATCAAGAATTCAAAGAAGAGATGCAAAGTACAAGGGGAAGGGGCAAAGCCTCAGTGCCCTTTCTGAGCCACACCATCTCTACATGTGCAGTTAAAAATCCCAAATAGGGGCTGGAGAGAAAGTACAGCCAGTAGGGCACTTTCCTTGCACATGGCCACCCTGGGTTCATTCCCTGGCAACACATATGGTCCCCAAACCCCACCAGGAATAATCTCTGAGCACAGGGCTAGGAAAATCACTGAGTACCACATGGTGTAAGCCCCAAAAAAAAAATTCCATACTAACGGGATTTTTATGAAGGCTTCATCAAGTCATAATCTACATTAACTCCTTTACCTGTGCCCCACTCCCCACCAGATAATGGCAGAAGGTGGACTTGGAATATTTTAAGTTTCTAATCATACTTTGTTGCTTTTGGATGACCAGTCTCTACCCAAAAACCCATCAAGAGAGTAGCCTCTTTAGAACAAGAGACCTCAATACCCTAAAATTCCAAGGGCATGGAAGCATTTGCCTGCGTGCTATATGGTGGGACAATTTAAATCTTTACATCTTTTATGTATCTCACCATTTTTCTACGATGATTATGAATTATTTGTACAATAAGTCTTTAAAGCCTTTAAGGAAAAAAATTAATGGGTCAACAAAGACACTTTTAAAAATTTATACTTAGTAGAAAAGGTATAGCTCTGAGACTGAAAATTATCTTAAAGTATTTTAATTATTACATGCAAAATAAAAAGCAGGACTAAATTATCCAACTTGAGTCTGAGAACCCAAATTCTAAATTAGACTTTTCCTGCTATTAGTCTTCAGAAAAGTCATTTAACCTTTTTCTTCCTTAAATTTCTCATACATTAAATAAGGATAATTATAAAAATCAAATAAAATAATAAATGTGTTGCCTTTTTAAAAAGGAATCAAATGTTCTCTTATAGTCACTGGCATTATTTTGAGTCCCTGATAATATTCTATATTATTAAAGGAAATGATAACCAAAATACAAAGACAGCCCATATAATGAGAAAAATTATTTTCCCATCACCCATCTGATAAGAGATTAAAATAAAAAATATATAAGGTATTGGTAGAACTTTACAAGAAAAAAAATCATCAAACCACATCAAAAGATGGAAGGATGAAATGAACAGAAACTTCCTCAAGAAATACAAACAGCCAAAGGGCACATGAAAAAAATGCTCTAAATCACTAATTACCACGGAGATGCAAATCAAAACAACAATAAGATATCATCTCACACCAGAGACTGGCACACATCAAAAAGAACAAGAACAACTAATAGCGGTGTGGATGCGGAGAGAAAGGGACTCTGATTCATTGCTGGTGGAATGCCGACTGGTCCAGCCTTTATGGAAAACGATATGAACATTCCTCAAAAAAACTAGAAACTGAGATTTCATACGACCCAGCAATACCACTCCTGGGAATATACCCTAAGGACCCAAAACCAAACTGCACAAAAGCATCTGCACTCCTATGTTCACTGCAGCACTGTTCACAATAGCCAGAATTTGGAAACAACCCAGATGGCTAAGAACAGACGACTAGATGAGGAAACTATGGTACATCTACACAATGAAATACTATGCAGCCGCCAGGAAAAATGAAGCCATAAAATTTGCTTATAAATGGTTGGACATGGAGAATATCATGCTGAGAGGGAGAGGGACAGACATAGAAAGAGTGCACTCATTTTAAAGATATGAAACAACATAGTATAAGACTAAGACCCAAAGACAGTAGAAACAAGGGCCAGGAGGACTGGTCCATGATTGAAAGCCTGCCACAGTTTTGTGTGTGTGTGTCGGGGGGAGCGGAGGGGGAGTAGGACAGAGAAGAGACCACTATGACAATGATAGTTGAAAGTGATCACTCTGGACAAAAACTGAGTGCTGAAAGGAGGTAAAGTGATAACCTGTCAGTCCTGTCAGCACCTGTATTGCAAATCACAATGCCTAAAAGGAAGGAGAAACAGACAGAGACAAAGAGTCAGAGAAACACAGGAGGATGAGGAGAGAGAGAGAGAGAGAGAAAGAGAGAGAGAGAGAGAGAGAGAGAGAGAGAGAGAGAGAGAGAGAGAATTGTTTACCATAGAGACTGGAAAGATGGAAACTGGGGACACTGGTGGACCGGTGGTAGGAAATGTGCACTGTAAAGTGACAGGTGTTGGAACATTGTATGACTGAAACCCAACCATGAACAACTTTGTAACTCTGTATCTCATGGTGATTCAATTAAAAATAAAACAAAATTTTTTTTAAAAACATGGTATTAAATACGTAGTTATTTGTAATTTAGGAATACATAGGTGAGTAGTTATGATTTAATTATTTAATGTATTAAATCAGGACAGAAATCACTAAAAAACCAAACAATCTCCTAAGGAATTACCTAACAATCATACAGATAAATATTATTTTAGTTCTATTTTAGTAACAAATCTTTTTAATAAGTTCTATATCTACGGTTTATTAACAGACTCTACAGATTCACTCTGTAAAGAAATATTTATTTCTCAACTATGGGAATATTCTAATTTTAATGGTGGAAAGTTAAAGCAGTACTAATCTTTCCAAGTCCTTCTTTTTCATTCTATATTCCTCCAGTCATATTTCACCCAAAATACAAAAGAAGCAGAGATACGAAAGTGAAGATTCTTCTGTGTGTCACAGTGCAGTGAGCCTAGCAAGAGGCAGTTACCTGTTCTGATTAACTCTGCCAAGCAACTGTGATTCTCACAGATGAAACTGAAACAGAGCATTCCTGACTGGCTGAAATTGTTACTCAGTATTGCTCAAAAACGTCTCAACTGCAGGCAGCCAACCAGGTTCAATCCCCAGCATCCTATATGGTCCACTGAGCAACACCAGGGTAATTCCTAAGTGCAGAGTCAGAAATTACTTCTTCTTCTGAGTAACTGGAATTTTGGACCACTGGGTATGGTTCAAAAAATGAAACTGAACAAAAAGTATCAAGGCAGAGGTCCAGTATTGGCCCCCACTCCATCACATTCCTGACATCCTGACAGAGACTGCTCACAATCTCTTCCAGACTATCAACCTGGGGTCAAACCAGGAATCCTTGCATGTGACAAAGAACAGGTCACACAGCAGAGCACATGACACAAGGTGTCACTTTATTTGAAAGTAAGCTCATTAAATCCCATGAATTGTGGCTTGTGATCCTATTCTGCCATCTGGTATCAGTCTCAGCACACAAAACATATGCATCAGTATCATTTACACATTTATAAAGTATGTCAGACACGTGAACTCCTATACCCATGTGGAAGAACGGAAGAATAAATGCTTACATTTTAGTTGGATACTAGTTTTGAAGACTACTCAATGATGATGAATCCTACTCATATAAGATGCTATGTAATAGTGCAAATGTTGTCTACAAAAGTGGTACCAGCCAGAATCATTTATCAAAAATGATGAAATTCTACTAAAAATCAGTTTTAAGAGGCAGCCTTTAAAAAAAAAAGCCAGCCATCTATCACCAAGTAGCATCTAAGATAATTACACTCAATTCCATCATCTCTAGCATTACCCTACTGTTTTTCTCCTAATGCCTAACTCGGGTCCATAAATCTATGACACTTGCTCCATTCAATGGTTTAAACCTCAGGTTATAAAAGCCTTCCAATCCCTCCTCATCCCAAAAAATGTTAAGAATGGTGTATCTAGACTCCTAAAACAAAACAAAACTGAAGTTCTAAAACCTTCTGAGGTTTCAGAAAAATTTAACAACCATAAAATGTTATATAATAAAAACATATACCAACAAGCTTACCATTGACATTAACCAATGAAAGAATATTATCCTGGTGTTCAAGGAGACGTTTTACTTCAAGGATATCCCATTCCAGTGATCGTTCTGTGGGTGCTACCAACCTAAAAATTACTATGTAAAAAGACATGATTTTATTAAAATGCTCAAGAGATATAAAACTGCCTTTGCTCAAAAATAATCATGTCATTAAATAAGAAATACATAAAATATCAAAGAACCCATGTCCAGAGAGAGCTTTATCACATTACTTTTGAAGTATTTTTAAATGCTTGAAATATTTGAAAATCTATTAATAATCCTAATTTCTAATATTCCTAAAGAGGATGGAGGCTTAAGATGTTGATCAAAAAAATAAGCCCCATTTGACAATATTAGATCAAGTGTAGGACAAAACCTGAACTAAAATTTCTAAAATGCTTCAATCTAATTTGCACTCATAGTCCCCAGAGATCAAAAATGGGGGCACAGGAAAATGTACTTTAAATTAAAAACTAATTAGTCTTTCCAAAATGCACATCACAAACTTAGTCTAAAATTTTAAAGAAAAAAGAACCATACTTACTCAGTTCTTTGCCAACTGCTGCCACAATACAGTTCTCAGGTATTTCTATCAAAGCACTGATTCCTTAAAAAGTATATGAGACAAAGGTCAACATATTTTATTCAAGGATTACATACAAAACAAAAACATATTAGTTATTTCCTATAAATTGGGTGGTAACAATAAAGCACAGAGTTTGCTAGATCAAGCTTCCTAACTTGTTACATGGAAAATGGTTGTGCATGAAGCAGGTGAGATCTTTGGAACACAGTTCTGAATTCTTGAGTATTCTAGACAGTGGTGCACAAGGGGGACCTTACTTAGTAGGAAACCCTTTCAGACAATCATTACTGCCTCAAATGCAATGTAAGACTGGTATTTCCTTGTTGGTAACTTGGAGAAGGAGGTGTGCACATTATAAATAACTACAGGCTAATGTAAGAAACACAGGGGGAAATGTACATTAAAAAAAAAGACATAACACAGATATGAGTAAATACTAAACTCAAATAAGATTATTAGTGACATCAGATAGTGAGATGAGGGTTTAGATCGTAAAATCTAGTAATTTTCAATTTAATCCACTATGAAATTTCATTTTTTTATATTTTATAATACCTATGTGGAAATAAAATAATTCCAATTATGAATTATAAGTTCCATTCACAGGGCTCCAGAGATATTTGAAATATCAGCATTATTAGTAATACAGTTTCTGGTTTAGGGGATACATCCAGTTGTGCTCAGGAATCACTTCTGGCAGGATTTAAGGGGACCATATAGGGTGCTGGAGATTGAACCTTAGTCTACCACTTACAAGGCAAACACCCTAATCCTTGCACTATCTCTAGTCCATTACTAACATTATTTCTAAGATGCCCATGAGTTCATTTGGTTACTTTTATGTACAAAAATTAATAGTATATTACAATAACTTCAAGGCTATAGTTACTTAAACATATTCATTTATATTTAATATTAATAACTTTTTATTATTAAAAAGATCTCCAAGCCTGCTACATCTTGACTTCTGTATTCATGGAAAGTCTCTTTCAAGATCACTGTGTCTTGGATCATGCTCCATTGGAACTGGGCCTCCTCCACCCGGATCCCCCATTTTCCAGTAGCTAGACAGTTACACCCATAAACTGCTCCCGGCACCATGAAATCCCATCAATGGCCAAGATCCAGAGATTATAAAACAAAGCTCCCAGAGCGACCTCTTATAGTCGTGGTCTCCTTCTCAGAGGATCCGGCAAGCAATCGAAAGTATTCTGCTCGCACGGCAGAGCCTGGCAAGCTCCTATGGCATATTCAATATGCCAAAAACAGTAACAATGATGTGTCTCATTCCCCTGACCTTGAAAGAGCCTCCAATGTGGCGCCGTTGGGAAGGAGGAGTAAGGAGAGGCTGCTAAAATCTCAGGGCTAGGACGAATGCAGATATTACTGATGCCCGCTCGAGCAAATCGATGAATAACGGGATGACAGTGATACAGTGATTAATAACTTCAAGGCTATAGTAATTTAAACATTCATTTATGCTTATATATTTTTACTCTGAAAAAGATTTTAATTAATTTTAACAACCTTGGGCATCCAAAACTGGTATTTTTTCTGTAAAAATCAAAACATCAACAGAATTCTGAAAGAAAAAAAAAAGCCCAAAATCTTTTCAGTAAGTTTACAGATAACTTTTAGCAAAACAACTTTAAGATAAGGTTGTCCTTGGGAATCCATTCAAAGCCCAATGACCCCACAAATTGGGAAAAAAGTCTGTTATAATCATAAAGATGTGCTTGTAAGTGTCAATGGGCTCATCAAACTTTAGGAACCTGACCCAGTACCATCAAACTGTATTTCCTGACCACTTTTGAGAAATCCTGTTAGAAGGAAGGAGAAGCCAGAATAGGGCTCAGAAGCATTATCCGATTTGGGCTGGAAACATATTTCATGCAACTCTAAACCTGAATTGGGGGAGTATGGCTACAGTATCTTTAGAAATGAGAAGAAAAATTTCATCTTGACTTCTGTATTCATGGAAAGTCTCTTTCGAGATCACTGTGTCTAGGATCACGCTCCAAAACCTGGGATGTGTCTTACCTGTATCAGAAAGGTGAGGAGTCTTACACAAGAGATCTAACTTTCGGTTCCAGACACATAGGTCATTCCCACCAGAGAGCCAAACATCCAGTCTTTGAAGAACAGTTAAACACTGTAAAAGTCATGGGGAATGTTTTGTTAGTTTAGAAATCAAAGCATTTGCTGATTTTTAAATCCAAGCATTCACTGATTTTTCAAATATGTTCTAAAAACAAATCAAACAAAATGTCTTCTCCCTTGCTCAAGAAGTGGCGCTTCATTAACTGACCCTGGACCGGGGGTTCTGTAGGTGGCCAGCTTCAAACAAGTGATCATGTGGCTGCAGGGATGGCACATGACTTATGAGACACATGATAAAAGACCCAGGGTCTGGTCTGCCTTCCTGTTGGATCAGCTGTGAAGGAGGAAACAAATGTGCAGCAATCTGAAGAAAGGTCAGACAAGGCAAGCGAGGGCCATGGGTACCAATCTGCAAAACGTGTGCAGCCCCCAAGATCCTCAACCCTGCCAAGCCTTCAGATGGGAGGCTTGGAAACATGAAACCAGACTGCACAGCCTAGTTCCACTTTCTTTCTCACAATCTTGAATGCTTTCCTGCTTCAAGGTAACTTGTTCCTCAGTAGTAGGTAACGCAACCATAAGGTTTAAAATTAGGTTGGTTTTTATTTATTTATATTTTGGAGTTTGGGTCACACCTGGCAATGCTCAGGGCTTACTCCTGGCTCTGTGCTCAGGATCATTCCTGGCAGTGCTCAGGGGACGAAATGGGATGCCAATGATCAAACCTGGGTCAAGTGGGTACAAGGCAAACACCCAACCAGTATACTATTATATTCAAATTCATTCAAATTCAAACTAAACAATATACAACCAAAAAGCTTGTCTTAGAAGAGCCGAACAACTACAGATTTTTATAGAAAAAAAATCATTTTAAAACCAAAAACAGAATCTTGATGATGGTCTTCTGAGTGTAGCTGGCTGTGCATGAGGGCCTTTGAGCTCTTCCAGGACATCTTAAGTGATCCTCAGCACTATGGGGCTGAAACAGCACCTCAGCCAGACCTGAGTAAGCACTGAACCAGTTTGGTTGGCCGAGCACCACCAGAGTGGTCAGGCACTAGTAAGCACTGCTTAGAAGAAAAGAAAAAGAACCCTACAAAACTTCATTATCTTCTAACTTATTAAATAATTTGGGGGAGGAGGGATAATAATGTTATCATCATAAAATAACTGAAGATTTTTACCTTTACAGTGGACTGGAAGCATGATACTTGCTGAACTTGTCTGCCAGAATCACAATCCCATACCTATATTTATGTTAAGAAATAATTTCTAAACAGAATTTTCAAGTCTTTTTTTGTTTTTTTGTTGGGGGACACACACAAGTGGTGGTTCTAGCTCTGCACTCAGGAATCACTCCTGGTGGTAGTGGCGCTCTGGGGACCTTATGGGATGCCAGGGAAAGAACCAGGGTTGGCCATGTGCAAGGCATGCACCCTACCGACTGTACTATCTCTCTGGCCCCCAGAACTTTAAAATCTTAATGGTGAGTTAACATTACAAATAGTATTCCTTTCAGTAGAAAATCTCTAAAGAAAGCATGGAATATTTAGTGCTTATACTATTACAAAAATTAAGTCAATTAGGAGAACGAGCCTACAATTGAAAATAAATTTGAAGTAGGCTTTTACTATTCAGCTCTTAGAAAATCCCAACAGAACAAATGGTTGGGATACTGAATCTCTGCAGTCATATTATTTAAATTTTAAGGTTCAGGGCCAGTGAGCACTCAAGGAGTGCGCACATGCCGTGTGTAAGAGGCCAGCGTCCAATCACCAACGCCAAACAATCCCCCGATGGCAAGTCTCCCCACCAGCAGCATCAATAAAGAAAAAAGAAAACAAATTTTAAAGTTTATTCATCAAAACCTAATAAACACTGAAAGTAGGTATGCGTGCTTTTAAAAAGTATCACATCCATTAATATTTCTCAATGATATCCCTGGATGTACACGGCAGGATGCTTTGAAGAAATTTACTCACTGCTATCCTGATTCAAAGGAAACAATAACAATATATTCCTATGTACTGCATGCACAGTTCAATAATTAGAGGAACTCACATAAAATGCTGAAGGCTAGTTGGACTTAAGAAGTAATTTTCAAGAGAAGAAAGGCTGCTGGGCAGCTCCACAGCTCCCGGAAAACGCACCAGGTCCCAAAAAGAGCCGAGATCACTGGGAAGTCCCAGATGGGGTAGGTGCCACATCCCGCCTCCTTCAGATGGAACCCCGGTCACCATGAGCCTCTACAAGCATAGCTCGAGTATGCGGGAATCAGAACTTTTCCTCCAATCTGCCGGGACAGCCCTGGCTCCCAGATACCCTCTGATTCCAGAAGTCATGCCCACAACCCACCCTCCAGCGCCATCTTTACAGCACACAGCCGCAGAGAAGAAAGGCTGCTGGGTGGCTCCACAGCTCCCAGAGAATGCACCAAGTCCCAAAAAGAACTGAGATCACCGGGAAGTCCCAGATGGGGTAGGTGCCGCATCCCACCTCCTCCAGATGGAACCCCGGTGACTATGAGCCTCTACAAGCATAGCTCGGGCATGCGGGAACCAGGACCTTTACTCCAAACCGCGCAGTTGCTCATGTGGCCATGCAACATCTCCCTATATACAAAGTGATCAATGGAAAGTAAATCATCCAATGTTTCTCCCTGAAAATCAGGCTTAACTCTTTTACAAACCACAACACCCAATAGGAGAGAGAGAACAAAAGGGAATGCCCTGCCACAGAGGCAGGGTGGGGGTGGGGGGGTGGGGGGGAGGGATACTGGGATCCATGGTGGTGGGAAATGGGCACTGGTGGAGGGATGGGTATTCAAAATAAATAATTTAAAAAAATTAAAAAAGAAGTAATTTTCAAACTATTTACACCATTTCCTATAAAAACAAAAACATTACACTTACTGTCTAAAACACATTTCTACTAACTCCATATAAATGTATGATAAATATGGGAGCACTGTAGCACTGTCCTCCTGTTGTTCATCGATTTGCTCTAGCGGGCCCAGTAACGTCTCCATTATGAGACTTGTCACTGTGTTTGGCATATCGAATACGTCATGGGTAGCTTGCCAGGCTTTGCCATGTGGACGAGATACTCTCAGTAGCTTGCCGTACTCTCCGAGAGGGACGGAGGAATCAAACTCAGGTCAGTCAAGTTGGCCATGTGCAAGGCCCTACCACTGTGCTATCACTCCTGCCCAAATACGGGATATATATATATATATCTGATATATATATATCTGAAAAATGTTGACACTTAAAATTTAAAAACCCACCCTCAGCAATCAATTAAGTGTGTTAATAGCAAAGACCAGCAGAGTAAATTTAGCAGTCATTTTAGTACAAGTGACTGCAATTACTTTTAACAAGTCATTTAGCAATGGAAAAGGTTCTATACTGTATCTTACAAATAAAATTCATGCTGATACTACAGAAGAGCTCTGTACTATAATAGTAACTTTAATAATACCTCTAAATATTGCTATGGTACCTCAGCAATGCTCTAATAAAAAGAAAGCATTTTAGATTCTTTCTTTTTGCCAAAATTATACTGATACTGAATAAAAACAAGAGCTTTAGTCCATAAAATATCTGCCTTAATCCAGCAGTAATAAAATTATTCTGACCTAATCACTTGAATAATTTGAATGTCCTTGTTAATGCAATACTGCAATTATCACAAAAGAGTTTATTCTCCTCATTTAAACATTTTCTTGAATTGCTTACCTATTAGCAATCTGTCCAAAATTATTTCAGTTAATTCATTCATTTAAAGACTGTGATAAAGTATGTTTTGGTTTATGGAAGTCTAGAAACCTACTTCTTTGAACTAAGTCCAAAATTTACTTCACTAGATTAAAGCTATTTAAGCTAAATTTGCAGATAAAAAATAGCTTTATTAAATGCTAATTTACTAATGAAAGAGTATCCATAGCATTTAGCTATGCCTTCCACAAATTTAATTCCTCATACAGATATCACAGGGCTGAATTTATTGAAGGAAAAGATTCTGTGAAGGCTGTATTAGATAGGGGTTCAGGGGTCTGGCTCAGCAAACAGGCAGCTTGCCAGGTCAACCCTACACTGGCTGTGTGACCTTGCGCAAGCTACTCAATCTCCCCATGCCTTTCTCTTTCTCTTCTCTCACCTGCACATGAAGCTTAAAAAACACAAACCACAATGGAGTACTATGTAGCTGTTAGAAAAGATGAAGCCATGAAATTTACATACAAGTGGTACTACATGGAAGGTATCATGTTAAGCGAAATGAGTCAGAAAGACAGGGATAGACATAGAAAGACTGCATTCATCTGGGGAACATAAAGTAACAAAATAGGAGACTAACACCCAAGAATGGCCGAGATTAGTACCAGGAACTTTACTCCATGGCTTGAAGGCCAGCCACACATGCTGGGGGAAAGGGAGCTCAGATAGAGAAAGGAGCACCAAATAAAGGGTGTTTGGAGGATCCTCCCAAGATGGGAGAAGCATGCTGAAAGTAGACTATAGACCAAACATGATTGCCACTCAATGCCTCTTTTGCAAACCACAACACCCAAAAGGAGAGAGAGAACAAAAGGGAATGCCCTGCCACAGAGGCAGGGTGGGATGGGGAGAATGGGGGTGGGAGGGATACTGGGACCTGTGGTGGTGGAAAATGGGTGAGTATTTGATCATTGTATAATTGAAATCCAAGCACAAAAATTTGTAAGTCTACAACTGTACCTCATGGTGTTTCACTAATAAAAATTAAATTAAAATTTAAAAAAAACACAAACCAAAAAAAATGCCCTTTTTTCAAAGAACTGCTATATAAGAATTAAAGGAGTGAATGTATATGGAGAATCATGCCTGATACACCTATTTTATAAAACTCCATGAGAGTTATCACATACTAAACATATTAAAGTTTTAAATATGTTTTAAAACTTTATAACTAAAATTACAAAGAAAAGGTAATTTATGTTTATTATTTAATACTAAACTATAATAACCATTGGAAAAATGGTGAATTCTCTTTTTTTTATTCTAGAAAAGCATTTTTCTTTATAAAAGTAGGGGGAAATATGAGTTTTTCTCCAGTCCAACTCATCCTTTTCTAAACTGAAAGCAAACTAAAATAATACATATTTTAAGCCCACATTCTCCCATTTTCCTTCATTTTACATAGCACTGTAGCACTGTCCTCCTGCTGTTTATTGATCTGCTCTAACAGGCACCAGTAACGTCTCCATTGTAAGACTTGTTGTTACTGTTTTTGGAATATTGAATACGCCATGGGGAGCTTACCAGGCTCTGCCGCACAGGCAGGATACTCTTGGTAGCTTGTGGGACTCTCCAGAGGGTTGGAAGAATCGAACCCAGCTTGGCCACGTGCAAGGCAAACCTGCTATGCTATCGCTCCAGTCCATTTTACATAACCTGATACAAATAGTAACTCTGAAAAGAACTGCATTGATCATGGTGTTTTGATCAATAAGCCTTATTAGCCAGCTATTTCCATTCTAATAGTATGAAATGAATAATACTTTTAAGAAATATCTTAGGAGATCTAAAACAAAACCATTTTTGCTCGATTAGGAATGTTCAGACAGGCCCCAAAAGACTGAAGACTAATCATGCATGTGCTGGTCCCCAGGGTCACTAGAGCAACTCCATTCTCCTTCCAACTAAAGGATATAATAACTGTTCTATCAGCAGAGGCTGTCAAGATCAGCTGGCTTTTTTCTGTACAAGTTTCCAAGGAAGGGAATGTAATAATAGCTGTTATCTTCTGAGTGTGTCCATTGAGCTCCAAAAGTTTTTCTCCTGTCTGAAATACCAATAAAAATGTTAATAAGCACATTATTCACAACTTACATACATATTCTCAATGACAACATTTAGAAGAACCACCAAGAAATACACATATTCCATTTAAAATTGCTTAGAACTTACCATTAATTTTGAACAATTAAATAGCTTAAAAACTGATAGTAGCCATAAATAATTTTAATTATTTTCAAGAAGAAAATCCTAGGTCTAGCATTTGTTATAGCAAATGTATAACAGTATTTTTATATAGTTTTAATAATAGTGGTGATTAAAGCACAAAGATACCAGTAAATAATTCTGTAGGGAAAAATACCAGCGCTCATTATTTAAGTATTTGTTATTGAGTCTTCCACTGTTACAAAGTTGTGGAAGGTTTCCTCCCCATCCCATTGAGACCCGAGTTACTGGCTACAAACAGCCTCTCTGGCTCCTGATCAAGCTGATTAATGGCCATGATCCCAGAGACTCAGAAACAAATCTCGAAACCCAGCGGCTTTTGGCAGAAATACATCTGGACCACATACTAGGTGGCTACCACCTCAGAGCTTATAGGAAAGCCAGGTATGAGCCAGCGGTGACGGGGCAACTGCAGTCTTGTGGGAAGGGGGGCGGTACCAGCTCATCCTTTACACCCTACCAAGGTCACGAGTTGCCCCCCATGAGCAGCTCTCTGGCACGGCCATGGCTCCAGAGGCAAAAGGACTTAGTCCAGAGCCCAGAAGCTTGCGGCAGAAAAGTGAATGGTCCATGTGTTAAACTATGTTGCCAGGCCTCCCTGGGAGGGAAAGGATGTTGCTTCCTTCCACCCCCCCACCCCACCCCCAGCAGCAGCTATAGAAAACAAAGTATTTCATAATGCCTTTTCAGCAATTCTAATTGTTGGGGGGGGATTCTAAATAATAATGGTGCATCTTTTGGCAAAATAATGAATGTAATCAATGTAGAGAAAAGTTAAGTAGAAATCATCTGCCTCACAGGCATTGGGAGGGGTGGGAGGGGGGTATATTGGGGTTCTTGGTGGTGAAAAATGAGTACTGGTGAAGGAAAACGTGTTTGATCATTGTATGACCGAGACTTAAACCTAAAAGCTTTGTAACTTTACCCACAATGATCCAATAAATAAATATAAGAAAAAATAATAAATAAAATTATGAAAAAAAAGTTGTGGAAGGAAATAAAAACATAACCAAAATGTGTATACATATATGATATCCAATGTTCTATCAGTCACTCATGCTTCCTACTCTTCTGTGTAACACCATCAGCTATACCCACCATTCAATATCTTCATTTATCATTTCCTCTCAGACTTTCAAAAACACTTTAGTGGAGGTGCAATAACTTTGTACATCAATATCATAAATGTTAACACTAGTAAACATGCTATCTAAGGTACAGTAAATATTTTAAAGACTATTAAAAAATTACAGATAGAGATAGTGGGGAGAGCGCTTGCCTTGTTCACAAGCGACCCGGGTTGGATCCTCATCACAACATACGGTCCCTTGACCCCCCTAGGAATGCTCCCTGAGTACAGAGCTAGGAGTAAACCCTGAGCACTTACAGGTGTGCTGCCCACCCTACCCCTGTCCCCCAACCCCCCCCAAAATGAAGTCTAATGAGTAAAACAAGATAATAATCCAAATAAGGGTGAAAAGATGACTGTTTTAAAAGAGAATAATTTGGGAATTAAAGGATCAGAAAGAGAAGTCCTGGAGAGATTTAGTGATGTCTGCTAATATTTGTAATTTTTTTCTCTCTAAGCCCCTTCTGAGGCGCAGACTGGCCCCAGGGGTACAGCGGGTAATGCCAGGGAGGCCTGGACATACATGGCAGGCATGCACTCCACTCTGAGCTATCTCCCTAGTCCCAAAGCTGTTAATGTTTTGGGTGGAAATTAACTTTTTACTGGGCTCAGCAGAATGTAACTGGGCAGCAGAGTGCTTGCCTTGCATGTGAGAGGCCCTGGGTTCAATCCTTGGCACTACACACACAACACCACAAAGCCTTTTATTTTACTTCTAAGAAAATCAAATATGAGAATGCTACATTGTACCATATAACCATGTATAATGCTACATTGTACCATTTTGAAAGAAAAATTGCCTGCCAATATCAACACTTAATTTATAGAATCAATGCACAGCTGTTGATAAATTTTGCTCCATTAGATTAAAATTTTGTTTTTATAACTTAGCACGTTTGTCAGAAAAAAAACTAATTAAAAATCGTGTCTGTTATAAAATATTCATCCCTATTTTAAATGGGTCCAGACTAAATAACACCTTTCAACTATTAGTCTGAAATCAAGATACTGCTATACAGATGTAACCAACAGATAGTATTTAATATACCCTCAACTATACAGTCATATATTTACCAAACAATCCATAGAATCAATACATACCTGGGCATTCCACACAACTACAATTCCATCATCACCAGCAGATGCAAATCTGGTGAGAAAAAAAAAAGTTTCAAGAAAAAAAAATCACTGATGGTATGTATTTGCTAAGATTACTAAGAACTATGCAGAGCCTGGCAAGCTCCCCACGATGTATTCATACGCCAAACACAGTAACAACAAGTCTCACAATGGAGACTTTACTGGACCTGCTGGAGCAAATCAATGAACAACAGAAGGACAGTGATATACTGCTACTAAGAACAATGAGACCTGAGGGTGGAGCCATAGTACAGTGAGTAGGGCGCTTGCCTTGCACGAGGTCAGGCCAGGATCAAGATCTAGCACCCCATAATGTCCCTGAGCCCCACTAGCACTGTCCCTGAACATAGCCAGGTGTGGCCCAAAATCCAAAAATAAATAAATAAAATGATACGATCAAACACTGACATAATCACAGTTATTTACACTTACATGAACAACATGGCACAGAGAAGAGGGGCAGCTTCTTGGACAGAAAGTGATTTTCTAAGAGTGAAATGAAAGAGTTTGTGTCCTTTGTTGAAATCACTGTTCCTACACTTTTCTCTACAGAGGTATTTTAACTCTATCATCATTTTTTTTTTTCCTCTGAGGACGTGAGACCTCAGGACGATCCTGCCTTGGCTCCTGCCTCCATGTGTCACACTGGAGAATAAGCTCAGGACCTCACTCTTGCCTGGGCCCTTCCTAAATCACAGAGTCATTTTCCAGGTCCTCTCTCACTGGGACACCTATCGACTTAGCTCTCTGGGTCACAGTGCCTGCAGGCAGCACAAGGACTCAAAATCAAGGCCTTCTGTTCTATCAGCCATGAGTTTAAGTCACCAAGAAACCATCTATTCTATTAGATGGCAACAGTGACTATCCTGATAACCTCAGCAGGCATGGCAGTACAGTAGTTCAAACTAGCCTCACCTTGGCCTGGAAAGCACTTCAGCAATGAAGCCATCCATCTTCCAGGCCCAACTCTTTCATTTACAGCCAAGACCTTTCCTTTGCTCTGTGCGGCTCTTTTGATTGTTCCACTATGTTCTTGATTTGGAACATTAGAGCAAAGAGCATTATTTTTGTTTAATGAAAATTCTTGAAATGCAGAGAAGTTTGTTTCATTTTATAATGGAAAAAGATGAATCCAGTGATAGTTTATTTCTTTTTATCTCCCCTTTACTTATCTATTAAAAAACAACCATCCATAGTTTGCAGAGAAGATATCTATGACACAACTATCAAGAAAAATAATTTGTTGTACAAGACAGGGTCTGTATTACAACAAAATCAAGAAAGCACTGTTCACAAAAGTGATGTACAGCAATTACATTATAAGCATGTCACACAATTTGTTATTAATAATGTAGTACACAAGTTTGTAAATGGTTCATTAATTAAGCTAAATTAAGTCAAAGTTGTCTATACAATGTCATTTCCATTCACTAGAATTCAGGTTTGCTTCTCTGAATAAAAGAAAATAAGTACATTACAGAAAGACAGTTGTAAATTACATATAAATGGCTCCAGGCAGTATTAACTCTTGGTATATGATATTCCACTAGCCAAAAAAGACATTTAAAGAAATGAGTACTTCCTGGTGAGACTGTTTGTAGACTTTACAAATCTGGGTATGCTTTGAACCTCCTCATTAAGTTAATACTATTAGTTATGCAAGATTACACCAAGGAAAATGGAGCAAGGACAAAGGGGAATGCAAAAGTTACTTTGCTGCTGAAAGTATCTGTTTTGGTGAATTTTACTCTCATGAAAGTTCCATAAAATCTCACCAGTCGGCATTCCCAAGATTAGTACCAGAAATTTTGCTCTATGGCTTGGAGGCCAGATACACATGCTGGGGAAAAGGAAGCTCAGATAGAGAAGGGAGCACCAAATAAAGGGTGTTTGGAGGATCCTCCCAAGATGGGAGAAGCATGCTGAAAGTAGACTATAGACCAAACATGATTGCCACTCAATGCCTCTTTTGCAAACCACAACACCCAAAAGGAGAGAGAGAACAAAAGGGAATTCCTTTCCACAGAGGCAGGGTGGGATGGGGGGAATGGCGGGTGGGAGGGATACTGGGATCCATGGTGGTGGGAAATGGGCACTGGTGGAGGGATGGGTATTTGATCATTATATAATTAAAACCCAAGCACAAAAATTTGTAAGTCTACAACTGTACCTCATGGTGTCTCACTAATAAAAAGAAAAAAAACTCACCATTTCAGTCATATAACACAACACTCCAAACTGAGCCTCAAATTCAAACCACGTAGGCTCATTCCTAAGTCCCCCATTTGTACTCCCTGACTCTGACAAATGCCATTCTCAGTCCTCATTCCAAAATTCTTCCATCACAGGGGTAAAAAGAGATTATCCACAAGATAGAAAAGTGGTTAGATACAGACTATAAAAATGCAGTAATACATTTTAATATACAACTACGTATCTTTTACACAAAAGGGATCTTTAAACTTCATAGCTAATTAGAAAGCACACAAACTTATTTAACAGCCCACACCTAATATTTATTATTTTAAAGTGTAATATATAGACTTCGAGATTAAAAATAATTTTTAATTAAAACTATGAGTTCTGGGACTGGAGCAATAGCACAGTGCGTAGGAAATTTGCATGCAGCTGACCCGGGTACAATCCCGAGCATCCCATATGGTCCCTTGAGCACCGCCTTAGTGCAAAGCCAGGAGTAATCCTGTGCATCGCTGGGTGTGATCCAAAAAGCCAAAAATATCACGGTATCACGGTCTTCCCATTGTTCATCAATTTGTTCGAGCGGGCCCAGTAACGTCTCCATCATGAGACTTCTTGTTACTGTGTCTGGCATATCGAATACATCACGGGGAGCTTGCCAGGCTCTGCCATGCAGGCGAAACACTCTCGGTAGCTTGCCGGGCTCTCCGAGAGGGGCGGAGGAATCGAACTCGGGTCGGCCATGTTGGCTGTATGCAAGGCAAATGCCCTACCGCTGTGCTATCATTCCAGCCCAAAAAGCCAAAAACCAAAACAAAAATAAAACTAAATTAAAAAATATATAATTTCTTATTCTTGACCACACACATTTTTTTCTGAATTAAATACAATATTAAATATTGCCTTAAGTGTATCAAATTGCTCTAGAAGAGATCTTTAATAGCGTATGTTCTGGGTCTATTGATTTCTTTTTATTTATATAGTGATGGCAAGGAGGGCAGAACTCAAAGTCTTAAGCTTCCTTCAGTTTAAAACATCAACTTGAATCGATTCTTAAAACTTTAGTAATTGCTTTTCTCCCTATGGCAGATTTAAAATACATACTTTTTTTTCTAACCTTTTGATTTTTTAACTTCTCATTACTGTTTTATCATGTTTGAATCTCCTGAGTTCACAATGAGAAATTATTGAACTGAGAGTTCAGAAATGAGATATAGTGCATTTTACCTTCAACTTTAATTCTATCAGTAGTGAACAAAAGTTAAATCTAAACAATGCTCAAAAGTAATGCATGAAATCACAGCCAATTTCTTACTGCTCACAGGTCAATTATCCAGTTGGTGGATTATGCAGGCCATCCAATTCTCTTATATGTTCTACTGGGGTCTCTCTCCCTCTCTTTCTCTCTCTCTCTCTCCCATTTTCATATTCATATTACCTCCTCTAAAGAAGAAATACAAGCTTAGGAATGCAAATTAGTACAACTTTTGCGACATATTAATAAGTCTGACAAAATAACTGATACAGGGTTGAGAAATCATTCACAACTGCAATTATCCATTCTAGTAGAATGAATGGATAAGTGAATACCAGCTAGCTGCATCACATCCGCTTATCTTGAGCTAATCAACCTGTCCTAGTCATGCAAGTCATCTCCAAGACAGAAATGAAAATTCCACCCAAGAATTTCCTAATTAATAATAGTAAGATTCCCTACTATTACTATCTCACTAGACTGATCATTCACAATAGCAAAATACACTGCTGAAAGCAGCATGGAGCTATATAGAGGGAATCACTGACATGCCAATAAGGAGCCTCCCACTGGACTTTGGTGGTAGGAATGGAAACAGCAGTTCTGAGTGCGGTGTGAAGCCCAAAATTCAGTAATAAAACCAACAATTCAAATTCAAATTAGAAAAAAAAAGAACCTCAATAAGGTTTAAGCTACGTAAGGGGAAAGAAACACTAACTATACTGCCGTAATACTGCATTTAATAATCTTTTAAAAAATATTTTAAATTAGCAAATACCAAACAGTCAAATCCAAAGATAAAAATTTTTAAAGAAATTTTCTTTACCGGCTAGCAAGCAAATAATTTAATGAGATTTCATGCTCAGTATTAGTGTCAGTAATAATTACAATTGGGCTTGTCTCAAGACTGTAAAACTCAGTGATTATTTAGAAACAGACTACGTTCCATCGAGTCTAAGACATCACTAATTGTAAAATATTGTACTATTGTATATATTACTATAGGGTGAAAATACTCATAATCACTGGAAGATATCATCAACTATATGATGTAACTCAACTTCAGAGAAGTTCAAATAAGCTTCTTAAAATTACTAAAATCTGTATAACTCCCATGTTAATTGTTAAAATATGATACTTTCTGCTCTAAAAATTCTAAAAAAAAAATCTCTACCTAGGGAAGCTACAAAGTACTTAAGAAATGTTCGTTCAATAAATAAATCAACAAGTAAGCAAACCTTCAAGTGCTGCAAGGGTTCATTGAAAAGGATTAATAGTATTGGCATAACTTCATTTGTTTCTTTTATCATTTCTTTATTACTCTTCCATCAAATTTAAAACTCAGAATCCCACCATACACAAAATCAATTCCTTTGTTCTGAAGCTTCATTTCCATTCTTATTCACATCCTTGAGGTTTCCTTAACTTGAAATCACCTTTAAAATACTCATACACAGTTAAATGACTAATGACAAAAATTATAGGTATGAAATCAAGTTTAACAGGGTGAAGCATGGCCCAGTGAAAAGGTTCCGCCCTCTGGGCGTGGGCCGGAG